CAGAGACTTCATCTCTTCCTAATTACAGACCTGTAAGGGTCACCTTTAAAAAGGGGGTGGAGATGGAGAAACAGAATCCCAAATGATGCCTTCCCCTAATCCACCACATTGGGTTTCAGGTAACATTAAGAAGAAGCATGAAGGGAAAATGGAACTCAGGAAGGGAACCCCACTTTAGACTGTACCCACTCAGAAAGGAGATAGATCATAAAAGCTATAGGAAGCAGTTCCTATCCCCCTGCCACACTAAAACCAAACCGCTCCCCCTGCTTAAAGCCAACTTTCCAGGGCATTCTGCCACTGGGGTTGCCTCCCCAGAAAATGTTGCAGGTCAGTGGGAAAATGCCTGGCTGACTTCTGGGCTAGTCCCAGCTGACCCAGGCCCCTCACCTGCATGCTGAGATCCCTGGGTCTTCAGTCTCATTGTTGAAGCCCTGGGGATAAGCGGAACAGAACTCACAGGGAGGGGAGCCACACAGAGAGACCCCATAGGACTCCATTAACACTTAGTTGTTGCCTGCTACCTTTCTAGAACTTAAAGTTATTGACACCAGTTCTCCCTTATCCCTAACCTCCCCTCTTAAGAGTGACCCCCATTTCTTCATTCATGCTGTTTCTCCTACCTGGAAAGTCCTCCATTCTTCATTCAGCTTATTTAAACCTATTCATCCTTCAAGGCCAAGCTCAAGCGCCAACTCTCCACAAAGCTTACCCCAAATACTCAAGTATACAGTGATCTCACCCTTTTGTGAACTGCTATGAATTTACAGGCAGGAATACACAATTTAGCAATTAAGCTGTTCTATTTTGTACTATTAGTTTTAAAGTGTAATCAGCTGGAGGGAAGGCCCATTTTGTATGTTTCTTCCATATTCCCCAGAACACCTGTCACAGGGTTGACCACAAAGAAGAACTCAAAAAGACCTGACTGATTTAATACCCCGGTGTCCCTGCCCTCTACTCTCCATTCCTCTCTTGGGATCCTCACCAGCAGCTCCTGGGCCTTCACTGGAGACTGAGGATTTTTGTTGTCCTCCAACATCACAAGCAGGGCTGGCTGGGAGGGCTTGTCTTGGTGTGAAGGATTCTCCTCAGCCCCCCGCCTGGATGTTCCCAGTTGTAGTGGCCTCCTCCTCTGGATTCCCATACGCTTTGGAGCTCGAGTTAGTGGCTCCCGGCACAAGGTAGACCAGTCAGGAGGTCTGGAAGGGAAGAAAAGGAAGGAAAAAGAGTCAGGTAAAATCTAGACTTATTTTCCCGACCTCAGATTCCACCTGCTTCAATAGCCCCATTCACCTTGACTGAGGGCTCCAGGAAGACTGGGAGCGGTTGGACTCTAGTCTACTGCTCCGTCGTGGTGTAGTTGAGGACACTTCAGAGAGCATCTCTTGGGACTACAAGAAAGTTAATGGGAAGGAAAGGAAAGTGTCAAAATGGAAAATAGCCAGGTTGACTTCAGTGGCACTGAGGGAAATTAGCTGTCCAGATGCACTAGTGAAGACTGGCTTTTGGTGGACACAGAGGGACCATTTTGTGGACATGAGTAAACAAAAAATGATGATACCAATTTCAGAGGCCAGCATGGAAGAATAAATATATGAAGATAAACAAGAGGAGAATGAAAGAAAAGAAAGAAACAGGCTCAGGGAAAGCACACAAGAATGCAGCCTGATCAGCTAACTCCTTGCATGGGTTGCAAAAGCTTCCAGTACAGGGTAAACAACCCTGGGATATACACGGCAGCACCCTTGGACCCATCACTGGCATTACCATTAGTTTCTGCCAGGAAGCTGTTTCTAGAAATACTACATACCAAGCAAACATGCTAAGTATTTTTTTGGGGAGGCAATCAGGGTTAAGTGACTTGTGCAGGGTCACATAGCTACTAAGTGTCTGAGGCTGGATTTGACTCGGGTCCTCCTGTGGGCAGGTCATCTGTCCTAGCTGCTCCTAAACATGCTAAGTATTGAAATCCATGGTGGGGGTAGGGCAGGATCTAGTCCCTTCCCTCTTAATGGACTCACCATTCTGGTGGCAATGACATCCTCCAGCACCACTGTGAGGACCCGCTGAGAAGCCTTCTCTAAGGGTGATGGAGTCCCTGCCACCCTCGGGCTCAGCCTGGGTTCTCCAAGCTGCTGCTGCACCCTTGGCCGCTTCCGAGTTCTTGCTTCCCATGGTGCTCTAACCAATGGTTCCCGGTTGAGGGAAGGCTGACTAGGGGGGTTAAGGGGTTGGGGGGAGAAAAGAAGAAGGTGTGTGTGTATATGACTCCCCCAGGGGGGGTCCTTGATTAGCTCCATTCACATACCCTTTGCCTGGTAAGAGTGTTGATAGGTCAGGAAGGAAATATATCCCACAATGCCCCCGTACTACCACCCCCAGGCTCCCACTACCCTACAGGGGGACTGAGTCTCTTCCCTGAGGAAGAAGGATGAAGAAGATCTAGAGGGAGGCCACGGGCCACGCTCTCACCTGGAATCTTGGGGCAAGTCCATAGGGATACCGATAGCTTCAGGGAGTCCCTGAAGGGTCCCAGGTTTAACCCCTGGCTGCAGCCTGGGGTAGGGGGGAGGGGAGTAGGGGTCAGCCCGTCTTCTAGGGCTGTCCCCAACATGGCACCCTCTTTGCTAGGCATAAAACAATACCTTTAATCTTTTCTGGAGAATCCCTTCATTCCCAGAATACTATTTTATACCCATCTCCTTGAAGGAGTCCATTACAAATTACATCCCACCAATTCCTCAGGAAATCCCCTAGAATCTTTTCCCCCCTGGAAACCTTTAAAATATTACCTGTTTCCTCAAGCCCAGTGAAGAATTACTCTTTCACAACTGCTTGGACCCTTACCTAGATCTTTTTCTAGAGCCTCAAAGATTCTCCCAACAGTCCTTTCTCTCTCCCATCGGGTCCTTGGGGGAGCCCGCCCAACCATCTCTCTTAGAAAAATCCTCTTCACCATCAAATCCTTTATAAGTCTTTGTACCATAAATTTGTGCACCTTCTCCTAAAAGCCCTCAAAAGCTTCCTTCACGTTCTCCTAAAAGCCCTCAAAAGCTTCCTTCACGGGGCAGTAGAAGGATATTCTCTGAAACAGCTTCCCCTGGTTACTTTCCTCCTCTCTGGCGAATTGCAACTAGTTTCCTCCCCCTAGACCGACTCAAAAGCTTTCACCCTTACAAGTTTTTCAAGTTCTTCCCACCAGGTCCCACTAGCGGACTTTCAGCCTTGCCAGATCCCTGCACAATCAATCCTTCAGCCTCAATCTCTAAATCAGAAATCCACGGGACGAGTAATAGCCCTCCCCTAACACCCAACCTGGAGATCTTTCCACCAGATGTTGCCAGAAATACCCTACTACCAGATCTCCCCAGTGATCTACCTCCGGAGATCCCTCGGGATCCACTGTCAAACGGATCCCCGACCCATAAAATCCCGAGAACGTCCCGCCCACCCTGGATCAATAACCCACCGGGCTCTCTTCCCCGCGGGGGAGAGCATGGGTCGGCTTTCCTCCCTTCATCCCTCCCCGCCGTTCGCTCACTCTCTTTCTCTTTCTCTCCCCGCCCCGTTTCCCTCCCCTTCGCCCATCCCTCCGCCGGCCGCTCACCGCCGCCTCCCGCAGATCCCGGTTCTCGGACTGTTCCCACCTACGGCTCCTTTAAAACCTGCCCTTCCTGACCCGGCCCAACCGCCGTACACCTTCTTCCCTGGGCCGACGGGAGCCGCCCAATCGCCGGGTACAGTCTTCCGGGGTGGTAAAAAAGGGCGTGAAGCCGCCGCTGCGGCCATCTTCCCTATGGGCAAGAAGCCAAAGCCCTCGCCATCGTGCTTGAGGGCAAAGAGGAAAGTGCTATGAGGGCCAGAGAGGTCGAAGTGGCGTCATCTTCTAAGAGAGCAATAAACAGAAGCTGTTAAAAAAGCTTCCTCGGGGGTACGGACAAAGGTGGCGAAGCTAGGGCAGAGCCAAATAGTCTAAGGGAATCTTCCGGTTCGGTTGCCCCACGTCCCAACAGCCATTGAGTTAGCACCACTGAGCGCCTTGAACTCCCTGAGTCCTAGAGGAGCCGCACAAGAAGCTACTTCCGGCCCCTCTGCGCCTCTCCTCGCCGGAGAGGGCGGGGCTTCTCTAGGTCCTCGGCTTCGGAGTCTGCGACACCCGAAAGTGCCCGAAGGCAGAGGCCAGAGCTCTAGAGAGCGCAACGCTGGAAAGTGGGCGGGGCCCTTAACGGGCGGGGCCTTAGCTTAAGGAGTGGAAGGTGTTCCAAGAGAAAGATCGCGCATGCGCCGGCTGGGCTGACTGGGCGTGTGTTACCCTGGAGAGCGCTGGACTGCTGCGGTAGAAGGGTCTCCCCCTGACCGCGCGCGAGGCCGGGCCGGGAACGAGGGGCCCCGTGAGCTTCGCCGATGTGGCCGTGTACTTCTCCCCGGAGGAGTGGGGACGGCTGCGCCCCGCGCAGAGGGCCCTGTACCGGGACGTCATGCGGGAGACCTACGGCCACTTGGGCGCGCTGGGTGAGGGGCGCGGCCAGGGGCGGGTGAGGCGGGGAGGGGTCCGGAGGAGGTGCAGAACCAACCCGGGTTCTTTGAGGCTCTGCTGAGCGTGGGGACAAGGACTCAAGGTGATCGAGAGCAAGGGCTCTTAACCTTTTTTTGCGTCTTTGGACTCCTGTGATAGGTGAAGCCTGTGGACCCCTTCTCTGAAGAATATTTTTAAATGCATAAAATAAAAACAAAGGATTACAACGGAAACTAATTATATTTATCAAATCAAAGTTGTCAAAAAATGTTTTTAAGTTTACGAATCCCAGGTTAAGACCCTGTGATCTAGAAGAGAGAAAGGGTGATTGGGCTCTTCTTGACCTTGGGAATGGGGAGGAGTATACCAGCATGGATGGGTTCACTATATGAGAACCTTTCAACCTTAGGACTTGGACTTGAAAACTATTAATGGATTGTACTTTCTTGTCTCCTCAGGGTTTCCAATCTTTAAATCAGTACTCACCTCCTGGTTGGAACCAGATTGAGAGGGCTGGGACCCAGATCGGCTAGATCAAGACATATTACAAGAATAACCTGGAGAGGTGAAGGATGAAAGAATGGTACAAGCCCCCAGATGACCCACTGAGACCTGCTCCCTGGATGTGACCTATCTTGGAAGTCCCTTGCCAGCCTTTTCCTTCAGTTTTCTCCTTTGGGGGGGGCAGGGAGACAACTTTTGAGATTCTCACTGCAACATCTTTACTAGTAAATTTGTCTCCCCCAGACTTCACAGTCCACCCTGTTACAGGTTTCCAGGGTACAAGCCTAGGTACCATTTGACCAGGACCCTAATGAGCTGAGCTTATACCTACCAGCACCTCCTAGAAGGACCGAACTGCTTTATAGTCACATATCTCCTGAAAATGTTCATGTTAACACTGAATGTCCTTACCTGGGATTGGTGATTTTTCTGAAAGTACCCGTACAATTCAAATGTACCTTATCATACAGAAATAGAACATAAGTTTTGTATAGATTCTAGGTCAGGATCATAGCTGACATTTATATAAGTGCTTTAGTTTTCCTAAGCATATTTATACAGATAGCATCTTTTGATTCTTATAACAACTCTGTAAGGTTGGTAGTACAAAGGCATCTACTTTACAAACGAGGAACTTAATGTGCCACATTTGTACCCATGACTCTTAACTCTTCGTCCAGCCCTCTCTTACATTACACATACAAAGACTCACTGAAGAATTTTCAAATCCTCTGGCACATTTTTAGTAAATGTGTTCCTCTTGTTCCTGTGTTGCTGTGCTTTGAGTTGTTCCTTATGCCATGTCTGAATCTTTTAGCTAGATTAACTATTTCTAACTGATGGTTTCCACAAAATCATTTTAAAATCTTCAAATTCTCTTACTCTAGAATAGTGGGAAAGATATTTAAAGAACCTGAGGTAATTTTCACTTCACATGTTAAACTGTCTCTGTTAAATTTTTAGGTAACTTGGTCTAGAGTGAAGCTCAATTTACAGGGAGCCTGGGTTCAAAAAGTTGAGTTGTCTTTTTGCAAAGAGGCAGCAGTCAGATGCATATTATATTCTCTGACCACCTACAGCTCTTAGAGCCCCAATAAGTCCCCAAAATCTTTCTACACAGGAATTTTGTAGGGTAAAAGCTTTAAAATAAGATTGTCTGCTACTTCATCCTCAGGGTCACTAGACCTTCTATTCCCTCTCAACAGGAGATACTGGTCAGTCATTGAATCCTCTGTCAGAGATCCCTAGTTTGTTCCTTTGTGTTTTGGAGGTGAATAAAGTATTTCATCCCCACCTTTTCCTTCTTCCCACAGAAGAAATAGTCATTGTAGCATGGGATGTTTGAGTTCTGGATTCCTCGTTTCTCAACAGAAGCCAGAAGCAAGGATGAGAAGCACAAACAGATGGAATCTGAGGGAACCCCTCTGAGGATTCAGCTACTACATCAAGGACATTGATGAGCCTTCCTCCAAAGCCAGCTATGGCAGGACTAGGCACCAGCAAGCTCACAAGAGCTTGGCACCTTCAACCACTGTTTCAGCAGCCTTTTTAAACTGCTCCTCCACCACTCCATCTGCTCTGGAGAATACTCACATACCTGCATTTGGTTTGGATAACATTTCTATTACAACTAGCAGTGTTGCTTGCCACCTCTTCAACTATAACAGTGAGCAGCCCCTGCCCCACTTAGAGAATTTCTTCACCCAGAAGTCAGCTGTGGAAGCGAACCTATGGATTGATTGTCCTGGTGTTGGGAGGCAAAAGGACTGGTCACCTAGGGAGGACTGTGCTATCTGCTTCTGTCCAAGGTTATTTAGATTTCTTCCTTGGCTTCCAACACTACTAGAGCTCTTCCAGGAGGAGGAGAAGTGACCAGCTTGGTCATGAGCACTGAGGAAGGATTGAAGAGGCCCACACACAGCCAGACAGATACTCGAGGATTTGAAGACACAAAACCCTTGTTTCTAGGTATCCTAAGGGACCAAGAGGGAGCTGGACAATCAGTGAGTTCCTGTGCCAACTCTGAAAGGCCAGGTGGGTAAGAACAACTGCATCCCTACTCTTCCTCCTCTGTTTGCCTTCCATTGAATTCAGATCCATATCTATCGCCTCACTCCTATCTGTCCTTGACTTTCCTTCTTCCCCATACTCTCTTTCCTGTCTCCCCCCCACCCCAAGAACAAAGGCGCCAGGTTTTCATTGGTAGGCTACAAGATCAGAAATTCATGTGTGCAAGCTACAAAAATTTAATTATTCAATTAAGTTCACCACCACTTATAATTCATTGGTCTAAGCCTGCTAGCTGGATACCTCATGGCTCAGCTCAACAGTACTGGTGGTCTGGTGATTGGACCTTAGGATATAGAATTATGCAAAATAAATGGTGGGGACAGGGTGCAGTAAAAACTGGGGAAGAGTCAAGAAAAATCCTTTTGAAGGGTATAGCCTTTGAACTGAGTCTTGAAGGGAGAAAGGAGCTACAGGTTCCAACAAGACACAGATGAGAAGGGATGGCATTCTATGCATCATGTATGCTACCTAATCGTACTTTTTTATGCTAAAAATTTAAGACCTGTATGTTCTAAGGATGGGTCCTAGAGTCAGTCCTCAGCTAAAAGCATGAGGGCTGGCTCCTGCTGGGTTTGAGATTAGGTCAGACTGAGGGTAGAATAAAAGCTTTTCATAATATAGTTTTTTTTTCTTTTTGCTTGTTGGTAAGGCAGTCGGGTTAAATGACTTGCCCAGGGTCACACAGCTAGTAAGTGTCAAGTGTCTGAGGCTAGATTTGAACTCAGGTCCTCCAGACTCCAAGGCCAGAGCTCTATTCACTGCACCACCTAGCTGCCCCCCTTCCCTAGTCCTGAGTTTCTTCATATACTTCTCTACCTTCCCCCTTTCACCCTCTCTTTCCTTTCACTATCTGGGGAGACACTGTCCTTTTAAAGGGAGGGCCGGGGTTGCTGCTGCCAGAAGAAATGGGATGGAGGGAGTCAGCAGGTTGAAGCTGTCCGAGTGTTTGGGAGCCTAGACAAGAGCATCAGGTCACCTGAAGGGCAAAGGGGAAAGATGCACTCAAGACAGGGTGTCCCAGATAGTCTCTGTCCGCACTGAAGTGAAGTCAGACAGCACCCCTCCATGTCAAATCCAGCCCATCACCAAAGAGCATCACTGCTGACCCTGACCTGCCAACATCCTGAGTCACCCACCCTCCAGTTCTACTTTACTGTCTTCCTAGGGACAGTGACAGAACCACTGGGTACCTGCAGGGCTCGGGTGTGGGCAGAGCTGGGACAGGGACAGCTGAATCTTCCAAGCACTCCCTCCTCTCTCCTAGAGCGGAGGTTGTGAAAGCCTGGCTGGGGCTGCTTAGAAGCACAGCTGAGGATGAGCGAGGCTAGACTGAGGGCAACAGGCGTGAGCTTCTCCCCAGAGGAATGGAGGTAGCTGCACCCCACACAGAGTGCCCTCTTTAAGGATGTTGTGCAGGTGACCTACCAGCACCTGGGTGCCCTGGGTGAGGCCTCTGGGCTGAGCTGGATGGTGCCATAGGTGGAGAAAAAGTCTTCACTGCCCTGGCCCTCCCTGGGCTCCAGCCCTTCCTGCAGAGCCTTCCCATGTTCAGGAGATCTTCCCCCTTGTACCCCAGGCCCTACATTATCTTTGACACAAAGCAGCCAATGCTAACACCTTACCCTGTGCACACACCCCTTTTTCAACCTGGAGGCCAAACCTTTGTCTTCCAACATCTTAGTTAAGATGGAAAATGAAGATCTTAACACTACGGGTAGGCCTGTACTTTGTTTAATTTTTCTATCAGATAAGTATTAAGAACAATATTTCTTTACTTCAGGAATCCATCACTTCTTGATGTAAGAAATGAGTTTTTTCAAACCTTCAGGAACCCAGGATCACCTCCATTACACAGTAAAAGAAGATGTTCATGAGGTTTATTATTATCGTTAATACCAGTTTTTCATTTGTATAGGGCTATTAAGGTTCACAAAACATTTTCCTCACACTAACCCTGTGAAAGCAAGTATTATCCCCATTTTACAGATGAGGAAATTGAAGTTCAGGCATGTGAACTCTCCAGGGACACAACTGTAAGAGCTGAAGCTAGAATCCAAACCTAACTCTGCTGATGTCTATACCAGTACTTTCCCCACACATTATTGCTTCTCAGCATTATTAAGATTAAAGCTGTTTTTCTTAAAGCCACCTAAAACCCAGCTTGCCTGTGTTTCTTAGACTGCCCAAAGAAATCCCCTGATCTTTCTTCATTCTGGATATGCTCAGCCTTCTTCAGCTTCCCTTAGTTGATCCTTCTTTTAGATCTTTCCCTTAGGGGTTTGTTGAACTTCGTTGAAGTTTGGATTCAGCCAGAGTGCCTCACTTGAGGACCTGGAGGGCCACATGTGACCTCGAAGCTGCAGGTTCCCCACCTCTGCAGCTATTCCTATTCTAATGCTTTTTGGTAAATTGAATCACTCTTTTGAAATTCAATGCTGGACAGCTCCTCCTCAGTTTTCCTCAGAAGCCTGCCTATGTTGAATAAATCCCTCCGATCTATCCACATGACTATACGATCTATACTATGCTAACCCTCTCTCCATTTTCTCCCATCTGTATTCCTATACCGTGATCCTCCAGCCTTCTGTAGGAACTTGGCAGGAGTGAGTGGTAACCTACCTTGGGGAACATAGGATAGAGCATCAGTACAACTCAGTGAAATGTCAGAACTGGGGCTGAATCTGAGTTGTGGAATATAGCTTGGGAGTCAGGAAGCTTAATTGCAATCCATGTTCTGTCACTAGTTTTATGTGTGGAGGGAAAAGTGCTAGACTTGGAGTTCAATGAGCCTTGAGTTCCAGTCGAGCCTCTGACTACCTAGCTGTGTGGCTAAGTCACTTAATCATTATGAGCCTCAGCTTCCTCATCTGGAAAGTTAAGATAGTACCCAGTGTTGTGAGGACAAAAGAGAGAATATTTCTCAAGCATTCTGTAAACACTAAAGTGTTATATAACTGCTAGTTATTATATATTAGCAATATAATACCTAGCAGTTCGGTTTGATTGTTGTTGTTGAGTCATATCCAGCTTTTCATGACCCCATTTGGGGTTTTCTTGGCAGAGATAATGGAGTAGTTTGTCATTTCCTTTTCCAGCTCATTTTACAGATGAGGAACTGAGGCAAACAGGATTAAGTAACTTGCCCCAGGGTCACACAAGTAATAAGTGTCTGAGGCTGGATTTGAACTCAGGTCTTCCTGACTTCAGGCCAAGCACTCTATCCACTGTTCCACCAAGGTGCCTATTTATTTCCTCACAACTACCGTATAAGATAGGTGCTATTATTTTCTTCATTTTCCCATATGGGGAAACTGAGGCCAAAAGGTTAAATGACTTGCCCAGAGCTACATAGCTGGTGAGCGTCAAAGGCAAGATTTGCACTCAGATCTTCTTGACTCCAAATCCAGCATTCCTTCTACTGTGCCACTTAGCTTCCCCCTCAGAGGTTCAACATGAATATGAGCTGCTTTATAAACCTTAAAGCACTATGTAATTGACAACTGCTAGTATCACCATAGACAGTTTTTCTCCCTATCTAGTTGTTAGTTTCCTCCTATGATATCTCTTCCAGCTTTACTAATGAATGACATTCTCCATGCTTCTGACCCAAGGCTGAAGAAGAGAGGCATTCTTGTCTGTGTGGAAGGGAGGAAACAGAGGACTCTGGGAAGGAAATGTGGGGGTACTACCTCATGTCAGTAGGGGGATTTAAGCTTCCATCAAGTTCTAATCTTAGAACTTGAAGATGACTGCATATTTTCTGTTCCCCTAGGATTTCCAGTCCCCTAAACCTGCCCTCCTCTCCTGGATGCAACAAGAAACAGAGGTGTGGCACCTAGAAGCCCAGGATTCTGAGGAGAAAAGGAATTGTCCAAGAACCTGCAGAGGCAAGGAAAGAGTATTACATTTGAACTCCTAGGTTTAGTTCTTTGGAGAGATCTTCTGAGCCAGACCTCAGTGGAAGATTTTTTTTTTTTGCCTTCTTACCCTTTAAGGATCTGATCTTTTAAGCTACCGTTGGATCATCTCCCCAGAAAAGGTTCTCTCCCCAAGATTACAGGCCTCCTCTGTGGCTTCTATTGAAGCCACCTCCCTGCAGATGTAAGAGATGATGTAGTGCTTAGCTGTCTCTCCTACACCCTTAGATTTCTACATAAGTTGCCTTTGCGATTCTTTATTCACTTGCCTCAGACTGGGATCTTGGGAATCTTCCTCTGGAGGCTATTTCTACCAGACATTAACCTCTTTTTCTCTACAAGTACTGTTGTGAATCTTTGCTACCATGATTCCTTTGTTTGTTGCTCCAGAAATTGCTGATGCTTCATTTTTTGACTTGCTTCTCCTGATAGCTCTCCTAGCAAATTCTGCAGCTCCCCAGGGCCAAACTAAGTGTCAAAGCTAAATTTAAAATACACACACATAGACATCCTGAAGCTAATAAACAAAGGATACTTTTACCTGGCCCTTTTCCTCATTTTCTTCACACCCGTGTGTATTGGATCCCAGGTGTAGACCCCATCTGGTCCAACTCTCTCAATTTTACAGATCCTGGGAAGGGAAGTGATTGGCCCAAGACCACACTGCTAATAAGTGACAGAGCTGGGATTCAAACTGAGTCCTCTGATTCCAAACTAAGTATGCTTTCCATCAAATCCTACTGGTGTCTTCAAAGCCTCAATTTTATCCTCAGTTTCTCCTTTCATGGCTAAGAGTGCCTCCTATTTCCTGGCAAAGAGATGGTGGAATATAGGACATTTTGTGACACTATTAATGTGTGAAATGGTTTTGCTTGATTATATTTATTTTTACAAAGGAAGGCTTTTATGGAGGGGTTAAGTACAGAGAGGTTATAGATTAGGAATAATGTAAAAAGGAAAGAATAGAGCATCAGTGAAATACTTTTTAAAATAGAAGAAAGCAGAAAGAGATACAGACAAGCAGGGCACTGTTAGTATTAAACTTAACATATTTTTTTAAAAGCCAAGTGGTACAAAATAGAGATTTACCGGGTTTTTTTAAAGGCTCATCCTTCACCACTCTTATTCAATATTGTATTAGAAATGCTAGATATAGCAATAAGATAAGAAAAATAAATTGGAGAAATAAAAATAGGCAATGAGGAAACAAAACTATCAGAATCAACTAAAAAACTAGTTGAAACAATTACAACCTTAGCAAAGTTGCAGGATATAAAATATGTTCACATAAATCATCAGCATTTCTATATACTACAAACAGAACCCAACAGGAAGAGATAGAAAGAAAAATTCCTTTTAAAATAACTGTAGACAATATAAAATACTTAAGTGTCTATATGAACACAGTTATAAAACACTTTTCACACAAATAAAGACAGATTTAAACAGTTGGAGAAATATTAATTGCTTATGAGTAAGCCAAGCCAATATAATGAAAATGACAATTCTGCCTAAGTTAATTTACTTATTTAGTGCCATACCAATCAAACTTCCAAAGAATTATTTTATAGAGCTAGAAAAAATAATGGCAAAATTCATCTGAAAGGAAAAAAAGGTCAAGAATATCAAGAGAATCAGTGAAAAAAAGGGTGAAGGAAGATGGCCTAGCAGTACCAGATTTCAAAGTATATTACAAAACAATAATCACCCAAAAAATCTGTTATTGGCTAAGAAATAGAGTGGTAGATCAATGGAATAGATTAAATACAAGATGCACAGTAGCAAATGACCACTGTAACCTAGTGTTTGATAAACCCAGTGATCCAAGCTTTTGGTTTAAGAATTAAACATTTGACAAAAATTGCTGGGAAAACTGGAAAGCAGTTTGGCAGAAAGTAAGCATAAACCAACATCTCACACCATATGCCAAAATAAGATCAAAATTGGTAAATGATTTAATGGATAAAGTACCAGCCCTGGAGTCAGGAAGACCTGAGTTCAAATCCGGCCTCAGACATATAACACTCACTAGCTGTGTGACCCTGGGCAAGTCATTTAACCCCAATTGCCTTTAAAAAAAAAGTTGGTAAATGATTTAGACAATAAAGGGTATTATAAGTAAATTAGGGGAACATGGAAAAATGTACCTGTCAGATATATGAATATGGGAAGAATTTATGACCAAACAAGAGATAAAGTCCATCATGGGAACTGAATAATTTTGATTACATGAAATTAAAATTTTTTTGCACAAACAAAACTAATGCAGCCATAATTAGAAGGAAAACAGGTTACTGGGGGGAAATTTACAGTAAACTTCTCTGATAAAGGCCTCATTTCTCAAATATATAGGGAACTGAGCCAAATTTATAAAAATATCCTCAGCGGACAGTCAAAGGATATGAACGAGCAGTTTCCAAAAGAAGCCACATGTCACATGAAAAAATGCTTTAAATCACTATTGATTAGAGAATACAAAATTAAAACAACTCTGAGATACCACCTCAACCTATCAGATTGGCTAACATGACATAAAAGGAAGATAACATGTGGGAAGGAATGTGGAAAATTGGGACACTAATGCACTATCGGGGTTGTCCACTGATCCAATCATTTTGGAGAACAATCTGGAACTATTTCCAAAGGGCTATAAAACTGTGTATCACCTTTGACCCAGCAATACTGTTACTAGGTTTGTATCCCAGAGAGAGATCAAAGAATAGGGAAAAGACACTATACAAAAATATTTATAGCAGCTCTTTTGTGGTGGCAAAAAATTGGAATTTGAAGAGATTCCCATCACTTAGGGAATGGCTGAACAAATTGTGGTATATGATTGTGATGGAATACTATTGTGCTATAAGAAATTACATGCAGGATGCTTTCAGAAAAACCTGGCAAGACTTAACAAGAACTGATGCAGAGTGAAGTGAGTAGAACCAGGAGAACATTGTACACAGTAACAGTAATATTGTAAGGATGATCAACTGTCAAAAACTTAGGTACTCTGATCAAGACAGTGATCCAAGAAAATTCCATAGGACCCATGATGAAAAATGAATGGTATCCATCTTCAGAGAGAGAACTGATGAACTCTGAGTGCAAACTGAAGCATACTTTTGTTTTCTTTATTTTCCTTGGTATTTTTGTGTGTGTATTCTTTAGCAACAAGGCTATATGTAAATATATTTACATGACATCACATTTATGATCAATATATTGCTTGCCTTATGATGGGTGGTAAAGGGGTGGGAGGGAGAATTTGGAACTCAATTTTTAAAAAAATGAACGTTAAAAAAATTTACATGTAATTGGGAAATATGTAACAAAATAAATGTATAAAAAAATTTTTTAGAAGGGGTGAGGCTAAGAGGATCTCTGTCCTCCTATACCCTCTTCCCCCTCACCCCTAGAAAAATTGATCAAGGCCAGCAACTGTTTTTACCTTTCTTTGTATCCCCAGAGTTTATTACAATTCCTGACACATAATAAGTGCACAATAGATTTTTATTGACTGATCATTTGATTGATTGGTATAATCATACAATAAAGATAGACCTATGTATGTTTAAAAAAAAAAAGGCTTATCCTCAGACATCCTCACCAGTTCTGGGAAGATGGCTTTCTAGACTCCAGATTTTTGCCTATCTCCCAACCCTCTCCCCTACCACCAACAAAGCAGATTTTTTAAACTGTTCTAAATCATGTTATCAAATCATTGCTTTCTTAACCCTCCTTAACTTAGATTCTTTTTTTTTATTCTTTTCTATTAGCACAAGAACAACATACCCCACTACAGACATGCTATCTAACTTATTCTTTAAGTTCCCAACTTAAAATTTCATTTGTAAATATATTTTTTGGAACTCTAAACAGCCTTTCAACATGTTATTATAAATGGGGCTAAGTTCCCAGATGGGCCCCAGAAGCCTACTCAGCCCTCAATTTTTTTTCTCCATTTCATACTTTTTAAAAAACTACATAATAAATACTAGACATTGTTTTCAAAGCTACACTGCTTTTCTGTGTTTCCTTCTAAGTTTTCTCTTGTTCTCTGATGGGCTTTTTTTTCTTTCTGTCCCACCCCACCCTAGAAAAGGCTACCACTAGACACGTGTGTGTATGTGTGTGTGTGTGTGTGTGTGTGTGTATATGTGCACGCGCGTGCGCGCGCATACTTCTATTTATCAGTTCTTTCTCAGGATATGGATAGCATCTTTCTTCATAGGTCTTCTGTAGTTGATTTGAATATTTATAATATTCATAATGACTTAGTTGTCTAAAGTTGTTCTTAAAACAACATTGCTGTTACTGTGTACAACATTCTCTTGTTTCTGCTCATTTTACTCTTTTGTTATTTCATACAAGTCTTTCCATGTTTTTCTAAAATCAACCAACTCATCATTTTTTATAGCACAGTAGCATTCCATCCAGCCCGTAATGTTGGTGAACTATATAGTTACTGCCCTAATAACCTCTATTGAAAACCTCTCTGCCAATTTCCCCCTCTTTCCACCACCCCCCAGAAAAAGCTTAACTATAGAGGATAATTCCATTTCCTTACCCTCTTCACCTTTCTCATTCTATACTATCATTGGAAGTGGTTTCTCTTCATAACATGAAGAGATTACCATTTTCTCAATAAAAATACCAACATTTTGGGTTTTGCCTTGAAACAAGGACTTGCACTTTTTTCCATGCCAATTTTTTGAGACACTGAAGTATAATGGAATGAACACCAGACTTGGAGTTAGACACCTAGGTTTGAGTCCTAGGTCCAGCACTTATGCACTAGAGAATCTTGATCAAATCAATTCACCTGTCTGAACCCTAGCCTTCTCACTAAGCAGAGCACAGTACTGGTTGCTAATTAAAAAAAAATTCTCCAGCTGTATATACTCTCCCTGCAAGACTCCTCCTTTTCAAAATATCTGATGAAATACATTTGCAAAAAAAGTCAAAGTCAGTGGCCTTTGCCTTCTGTCCAGCTGTATTCCTCATGGTTCCAATGAATCCCCAAACTGTCCCCACAGCTGTATTTACATTAGTTTGTAAAAAGAGATGTTCTCCGATTCTCCCTCAGGGCCACTGGAGACGGTCCCAATTTTACCTCCTGATGTCAGAAGGTGCTTAATAAGTGTTTGTTGATTGGCTGGGCCTGGCCAGAGAAGTAGATGCCCTAGGGTGAAAGTATCCTTTGTGTCCTTGTAACCAGCAGAGAACCTAGTCTGCTTGCCTTAGTTCCAAACTCTGTATCTGCTATAGGGATTTGAAACTTCCTTCTACTATGCTGTTCTCAAGACAAAAAAAACCAACCCATTGACTCTGTCCCCTTCACACCCAGCCATTCCTGCTACTATTACAAACGGAATAGCTGTTCCCTCACCAGGAATAGACTTAATGAAATAAAATGGGCTATATTCTTGAGTTTTATCTTTTCCTTATCTCCCTGCTGGAGCCAGAAGTGAGAAAAAGAACAGAGAGAAGGATCTGGGGCTGAGGACCCTTTCATTGCTCTTCTGAGGAAACCATCTCCAGATCTTCAAACCAAGCAGAAGGAAGCAACACCTGACAGGCCCTGAGAGCTGCCAGATCTGCTGTCCAAGGCCCTGGCCATGCCTCAAGAAGAAGACAGGGGCATTGCCATCTGCTCAGACTGTGGCAGGACATTCCAAAAACCCTCAATCATGGCACTCCACCAGTATACTCACAATCATAAACATCCCTACCCTTGTCCTGACCGTGGGCACTGCTTCACCAATTCTGCCCAATTCATCAGCCACTGGGGGAGGCACTCTGGCCTTCATCTTTATGCCTGTGTTGACTGTGGACACATTTAGAGTCCAGGCAATCTGATCTGCCACCAGCGCATTCACTCTGGGAATCACCCATTTGCTTGTGCACAGTGTGGGGCTCAATTCAAGAGAACCTTGTCCAATGCCAGCTTCTCCACACGGGGGAAAAACCCTACCACTGCCCTGACTGTGGACACTGCTTTTGGCAGAGTGGGTCCCTGGCTGTCCACCAGCACACCCATACTGGGAAGAGCTGTATCCCTGCCCTGAATGTGAGAAGCACTCTTTGGACAATTCATCCTCAGCCAAACACCAGCAGATCTATCAAACTGCCCAAAAGAATCACGTTGGGCCTCTGTCAGCAGGACTGGGGCCAAGGTTTTTTGACCCAGATCTCCCTGTAGGCTTTAAATACTACCCAGATACCTTCCAAGAATCTGGGTGACCTTGATTGAAAAGACAAAAGGAAAACTGTCAAGGGAGTGAGGTGCAGTGCCAGGCCCTGAAGGGAAGGTGTTGAGGCCTTGAAACACATCGTGTCTCTAACTATGTATGTATGCTCGTATAAAGAGTCAAATTGCTTAAACCCATGAAGAATTAAGTAAAAAGAAAAAATGACCTGGCTTCAGCCAAGCAGCTTTTCATTTAGGAGCTTAACCTAGTGACTACTATATTATGATGCATTGCTCAGTAACGTTGTCTAAAATTTAAATCAGAATCAACAAACATTGATAGAGAATTTACTAAATCCTTTGTTAAGTGTAAAGCACTATATAAATGTAAATTATTGTTATAAATGAGTAAGGATGAAAGATGCCTTGATGGATAGAAGGGTGTGATCAACTAGATTCTAAGATCCATGAATAGATCAATGATCATATAATCCATTCATGGATCTTAGAATCTAGTTAGGAAGAAAGACACAAATATGTGGAAGGTTAAAAACCAATGCAACAACTAAATAATGCATTTCAGAAAGCAGTTCCATGATTAATTGCCTATTGGAAAATAAACCCCTAGTTCAGAGGAAGGAGTGATTACTGTGGGCTTGAGTGTGATGGGAAGGAATCATCCAACTGGGATGAATTGCACCTGGAAGAATGGAAAGGCCCTAAATAGGTAAAAAGAAGAGAAATGAGGAAAACACCTGAACAGATATAAGAAAGTGTGTGTTGTTTAGGAGACCTTGACTAAGGGGATGGTTTCAAAGTGGAACTTCTCTAAGCTTATTCTGATAAAGATAATTAAAGAGGGATTGGAGCAGGGGAGACAAAAGGTCAGGTAGACCAGTTAGAGATTAAGTCCAGCAGATAAGACAGGTCGGAGTAGAAATGGAAGAGAGATTGCAAAGTATCAAAAAGGTATTGATTGTGAGTGATGCTATCTTGCTGCTCCCCTATGCTCAAAACCTCCAGCATCTGAATCTGAATCACTTCTACCATACACACAGTATCTGGGTTTTGGCTGAGAATGAATTCAGTCTCAATTTTCCCATTTATAAAGGGAAGAGAATAAGCATTTATATAGCACCTAGTACATGCCAAGCACTATGTTAAGTGCTTCACAAATATTCTCTCATTTAATCTGTAAAATGAGAATGATAACCTTGAGGAGCTGTGAGGCTCAAATGAGCTAATGCATATAAATTGCTTTATAAGCTTTAAAGGACTATATTAATATCAATTATAGAATCATTTGGTGGGCCCTAAAAGGATTAAATAAAGCCAGAGCTAGCAAAGTACAACTCTAAAGGCACTCTGAAAAGCTGGCACCTACAGACTCCTCCCCACCCACCCTCTTCTCTGACGTGCCTCCTGGCCCTCAAAGGGTAAGAGGTGGTCCCCAGAGACGTTGGTGGAAAAATAATTCCAAACATCCTCCTGTCTGTATCAAAGTCACAGAAAGAGAAACTGAACTATCTCACTTAATGTCCAGTGTTGGGCCTCCACCCCGAAGTCCTACCAAGACAACTTGAGCTAATTGGCAGATGAAGGCTGGAGCTCTGTGAGTAAGCTGAATGGTCAGGCACTTTCCTCCCAAGAGGTTGGCATCACTTCCCCATGAACTGATTCTGCAAGTTCACTATCCATGCTATCTCTGGTATGTCTCTTGTTTCCTATGTTTACTTCTCTGTCATCTTTTGGAATGTTTCTTATAAAGAAGGCAATTCTCTTTTTAATTGCTCTGCTGTAGCTGGATATTTTCTTTCTGTTAACCCCAGGCAACTCTTCTTCCCAAGCCTGCAGTTTCTATTCTTTGCAGAAAAGAAAAACCATGCCATTTTAAAAGCAAGTGATTTACTTTGCAGAGGCAACATTGCAAAGTAGATAGGGGCTGACTCTGAATCACTAATCATTTTGAGCTGAATGTCCCCATGGATTCCTCAAACTTACACATTGAAAACAGAACTCATCTTTCCCCCTAAAATCCACCCCACTTCCAAAATTTCCTATTTCTGTTAAGGACACCATCTTTTTAGTCATCCAGGTTAGCAATCCTGGAGCCAGCCCCACTTCTCCTTCTCCCCAACCTTACATACTCAATGAGTTGCCAAGTCTTGCCCATCTCATCTCTACAAAATCTCTTCCATCTGTCCTTCTCTACATAGATCCTTACTATCTCTCACCTGAATTACTGCAAGTCTCATTGCTCTCCTTGACTCCAATCTTCTGCCTTTCTAATTTACCCTTCCCACAGCCTCCAAAGTGATATTCCTAAATTACAAGTCAGACCATGCCATTTGTTGTACTCAAGAAGCTTCAATGTCTCCCTACTTACTCTAGAAGGAACTCCATTATCTGGCTCCAGCCTAACTGTCCAAATGATTTTACGTCATCCTCCCACCCCCAATGCATTCTAAGGTTCAGAAAAAGTGGCTTTCTTGCTGTTCCTTCCAATAAACTATCTCCCATCTCTGCCTTTGCACAAGTGACCCCCATGGCAGGAAAAAACTTATTCCTTACCTCTGCCTTTTAGAATTTCAAGCTTTCTTCAAAGCTTAGCTACAGTCCCACTTTCTTCTGGAGGTCCCTCCTCCTTTCTTCCCTTCTCCTGAAGCTAATACCTCCCCTCCAATCCCCGAAAAAAAATAAATTACCTTGTATTTATTTTGTAGGGCCGCTAGGTGGCGCAGCAGATTCAGTGCTGTGCCTGGAATCCAGAGACTCATCTTCCCGAGTTCAAATCTAGCCTCAAACACTTGCTAGCTGTGTGACCCTGGACAGATCTTACAACTCTCATCTGCAAAATGAGCTGGAGAAGGTAATGGCAAACTACTTAAGTATCTTTGCCAAGAAAACCCCAAATGAGGTCACAAAGAGTTGGGCACAACTGCAAACGACTGAATAACAAAATTTATTTTGTATATGTTTTGCACGAATTTGTAAGTTATCCCTAATAGACTGTAAGCCCCTTGAAGGCAGGAGCTGTTTCATTTTTGTATTTGTATCGCCAATGCCGAGCACAGTACCTGTACATTGTAGGCGCCTGATGAATACTTGTAGCTTGAAGACAAAATGCCAACTGGGGGCATTTGTAGCCTAACAACCCTGAGGGCGCCCCGGCGCTCCCTCGGGACACTCGAGCCCCCGGTGCCTCCAGCCCTAGTCTCCTTCTTGTGAGCCACCCACACGTCTCCGCTCGGGGTTTGCATGTTGCCACTTCCGGTCCCATCGGCTCCTCCCGCTCCCGAGTGGGCCGGGCCGGGCCCTCGCAGAGCTCGAGGCGTGGGCGGGGCTGCTCTCAGGAGCCCCGGGTGCCCGGGGCGCGCAGGGGAGGCAGCGCGCACGAGATGAGCCGGCCCGAGCCGGGGGCGAGAGACCCCGTGAGCTTCGCCGATGTGGCCGTGTACTTCTCCCCGGAGGAGTGGGGACGGCTGCGCCCCGCGCAGAGGGCCTTGTACCGTGACGTCATGCGGGAGACCTACGGCCACCTGGGCGCGCTGGGTGAGGGGCGCGGCCGCGCGGGGCCCGGGCGCGGGTCGGGGGTGCAGCATGGGTAACTCACCCATCAGACTCGACCCCTGTTCTCCTTCCAGGTTTCCCAGGCCCCAAACCCGCCCTCATCTCCTGGGTAGAGCAAGAGCCAGAGGTCTGGGGTCCAGATGCCCGGGACCCCGAGGAGGAAAAGGAGAGCCCGAGGGAAGAATGCCCAGGTGAGAGTGGAGGAGACCATGCACGGCCCCTCCGCCCCGAACTGAAACTGGTTCAGACCCAAGAGAAGCCCCAGCCCTTGCCGAGCCCTCCCCTCCCCCAGCAAGGGCCCTCTGTGCAGGTTTCTGTTTGTACACCTGCCCAGGTCAAGTTCTGCGTTCCAGACTACAGACCTCCTGCCTGTCTCTGACACGTTTCCTCTTTACAGTTTGTTCCAGCCCTGGACAGCAATCAGGCTGTCTCCTGTTACCCTAAGTCCACTGGGGCATCCTCTGAACAGCCACAGCATCTACTCTGTTATCGCAGGCCTAGGGCAGGTAGCACTGTATTGGCTACTCATTTTTGTTACCTCAAACAAGTATGGTAATAAGTTTACTATGCCTGGCCCTGTTATTTCATTGGTGAAGTAGACTCAGTCTACCAGTGGAGGTCAGTACCTACAACTGCAATTTATAGAATAAACTAGGCTATGTCAGGTTATATGCTCATAGGCATGTAGGCAAGTATGTGTCAGAGTTGGGTCTTGAACCCAGATCTATTTGACTGAAGTCCAGCCCTCTATCCAGCAACCATGGTACCTCTCTGATAATAATAATAATATCAGATATTTATATATCACTAAAGCACTTTAGCACACATGATCTCATTTGAGCCTCATGACAAATCATAGGAACATAGAGATTTGGAGCTGGAAGAAACCTTAGAGACCATCTTGTCCAACCCCTTCATTTTACAGATTTAGGTCACACGGTTAGTAAACAACAGGAAGTAGAATTTGAATCGAGGTCCTCTGACCCCAGAGCCAATTTTTGTTTTTCATTGTACCACACTGCCTATGAGGAAGGTATTACTAGCATTGTTATTCACATTTAATTCCCTGGTTTGTCAGTATTAAATAGAGACCTGTTTGCGCAGGGATAATAATTTGATTTTGCCATTCTCTTTCCAACTGTAGTTTTCATGAATCTCTAGCTTTATCTTCATAAAGAAAATACAAATTTAAAATATCAAAAGGATAGTCTCCAGCTCCTCCCTAAGGGTCAACTCTTCCTTCCTCTTCTCCTTTCCACCTCCTTTGAACCTTAGTAGTAGGAGCTTGACCTTGATTAGAAGCAGCCCACTGAAGGGTGAGATGGTTTCTTATGTCTCTGTGGACATCATCAAGCCAAAACTGGCCCTTGCTAATGAGGGTGGTCTTCAGATGCCCTAGGAATAGGGCCTAAGGTTAGCTCCAAGAGCTTGGAAAATCTCCTTCAATGAAACCAGTGGCTGGGAGGCCCTTTCCTCTAATTTCAGTGGGAGGAGCATGCCATCCCCATAACAACATTAGGACAGGATAGAATGTGCCTAATTTTTAGTTAAAAATTCTCTTCAATTTTTAGCAGCCTCTGGAAAACAGAACAAGGAGAAGAAGTGGAAAGAAAGGACTGGATTCCAGGAAACTGAAGAGTCTGTAAAGGAGGTTTTGCCAACTGAGGTACTGCATGCCTTCCGCCAGGGTGATAGAGGCACTCTTCACCAATGTATCCCCAATCTGAAGAGGCCCTGCCCTTGTCCTCAGTGTGGACGCCATTTTGCATTTCCTTCTCTGTTGGACAGTCACCTGCGTGTGCACTCTGGGGAGCGTCCTTTTGTCTGTGCACAATGTGGGGCACGATTTTCACAACGCAAAAGCCTCATCCAACACCAGCTCATCCATACAGGGGAGAAGCCCTTTCTGTGCCCAGACTGTGGGCGCTGTTTCCGGCAGAGTGGGTCCCTGGCCATCCACCAGCGTACACACACAGGCGAAAAGCCCTACTCCTGTCTTGACTGTGGGCGCTGCTTTGCCTATCCTTCCTTGCTCGTCAGCCACCTACGGGTGCATACAGGAGAACGACCCTATGCCTGCACTCATTGTGGAGCAAGATTTTCCCAAAGGAATAATCTTGTCCAGCACCAGCTCCTCCACACAGGTGAGAAGCCCTATCCCTGTTCTGACTGTGGGCGATGCTTCCGCCAGAGTGGATCCCTGGCGATCCACCGTCGGGCACACACGGGTGATAAACCATACCCCTGTTCTGACTGTGGGCGCCGATTTGCTTATCCCTCCCTCTTGGTGATCCACCAGCGAACCCACACAGGTGAGAAGCCATACTCCTGCCCTGACTGTGGGCGCTGCTTTGCCTATCCCTCCCTATTGGTCAGTCACCAGCATGTGCACTCTGGCGAACGCCCTTACCCCTGTCTACAGTGTGGGGCACGTTTTGCCCGCCGGGAGAATCTTGTCCAGCACCAGCTCATCCACACGGGTGAGAAACCATATTCCTGTCCTGACTGTGGGCGCTCCTTTCGGCAGAGTGGCTCCCTGGCCATCCATCGACGTAAACACACAGGCGAGAAGCCCTACCCTTGTCCTGAATGTGGGGTCTGTTTCACCTATTCTTCTCTACTGGTCAGCCATCGTCGAATTCATTCTGATGAGCGTCCTTTCCCCTGCACTGAGTGTGGGAAGTGTTTTAAGCGAAAGTACGCTCTTGAAGCCCACCAGTGGGTCCACCGGTCTGGCACTGAGAAGAGGCAGAGTGGGAGAGCTGCTATACAGCCTCTTCCCCAGGCTTCTGTGAATGGGATCCAGGATCCCCCGGTGGACTTCCAGTACTACCCAGATATATTCCAGGAGTGTGGGTGATCAAGTCTTTGGGGAGGGAAACATGAGAGATCCCAGTCTTCTCCATAATGTCTAAGGCATGGCCATGTAGTGGTTCCGCTGAAGAGGATGATGGAAAGATGTTAGAGGGTCTAGGGGAAAATGACAAGTTCTGGAATAACTACCAGGATTAAGGAAATCAAAAGAGAAATAAAAGAATTGACCAGTCCCCGTGACTGAGGTTGAAGTTCAACATTATGAATCTGAAAAGGCTAGTAGTTCTACCAGGCTAAGGATAAGACTGTATCATTTCTTAGTATTTTCCCTTAATGTACCAATTTCTTGGACTAAAAAGAGGTTTAGAGTTTACACAGTTTACAGCTGTGGGTTTAACGCACATTCAGCACTGGCTAATGAGGCAACTGAACCTATAGGTCCTGGATCCTAGTTGGTGGTATATTTTTCCTCAGGTGGGCCTTTGCCTTATAGAAGGGTGATTTGCTTCTCGGATGTTAGGGAGCCTATAAGTAAATGAGATGTGCCCTAGCTGTTATGGCCACCTTCCACACACACACACCTCAGTCCCGGACCTCAAGGAGTTTGCTGTTTTATTGAGACTTTCTCTACTTCACAGTTATTTTCCATTCACCCTCCCCTCCAAATTGAACCCTCCCTTATGACAAAATGGAGCAAAAACATCTTGATCCAGAGATCACACCTGATGGCGTATACTGTGTTCTGAAGGCACTTATGTTGTGCTGGAGAAGACAAATTGTGTACACATAAATCTATACAAAGCACATGCAGGGTAAATAGCAAGTAATTTTGTGGAGGGCAGAGCAGGAACTGGGGAGATCAGAAAAGGCCTCCTTTGGAAGGGGGCACCTGATCTGAACCATGAAGGGAGCTGGGGGAGTTCTGTAAGGTGTAGATGAGGAGGAGGAGTATTAAAGGGAAGAGGGGAGAGCCTGACCAAAGTCACGAGAGTGAGAAATGAGATATCACATGCAGGGAATAGCACGTAGACCAGCTTGGTCATAAGGTAGACTCTGCCAGAGGGAATGATGTGAGATCAGCTTAGTTTATGAGGCTGGAACCTGATGATGAAGGGCCTTTAACTCCAAACTAAAGGGTTCGTATTTTCTCCTTGAGTGAACAGATAACAAGCCATCAAGCAGAAGGGTAGCATTTTAGGGACATCATTTTAGCAGCTGAGGGGAAAGATGGATTGAAAAGGGAAGAGACTTGAGGCAGGGTGACCAGTTAGGAGGTTATTATTATAGTAGTTTAGGCAGGAGATAATGAGGATCTAAATTAGGATGGTGGCTGTGAGTGGGGAGAGAGATGCAGGAGATTTTGTAAAGGTAGAATGCACCAGACTTGGCAACTGATTGATTAAGAGTGGTGAGGGAGAGGAAGGATTTGATGATAACTCCAAAGTTGCAAACCTGAGTAACTGGAATGCTGGTGGTACCTTCAACAGAAATAGGAAAGGGAGGAGACATGTTGAGTTTGGGACATATTGAGTTTGGAGTGGCTATGAAATACCTGAGTAGAGATGTCCAGCAAACAATTGGTAACATGGAGGTTAGAGTTTTGGAACAAGATAAAGGCTAGATTTGTATATTTAGGACTTATCCTCATAGAGGATACTAGCTGTGTGACCCTAGGCAAGTCACTTAACCCCAGTTGCCTCACTAAAAAAATGCATATGAATCTATGAGAGCAGATAGGATCACCAAAAAGAATAGAAAAAAAGAGAATAAAGTACAGTACAGAGCCTCGGAAGTACACCCATGCAAAGGAGGTGGGATGTGGATAGTTGTTCGATTGTTTTCTGGTCATGTCCAATTCTTCATGACCCCATTTGGGGTTTTCTTGGGGAAGATACTGGAATGGTTTGCCATTTCCTTCTCCAGCTCATTTTACAGATGAGGAAACTGAGGCAAACAGGATTAAGTGACTTGTCCAGGGTGACAGAGCTAATCTGAGGCCAGATTTGAATTCATTTGAATGCAGGAAGATGTCTTTCTCCTAATGATCCACCAAAGGAGACTGAAAAGGAATGGTCAAACAGGTAGAAAGAGAACCAGGTGAATATTATGTCGCATAAACCCAGAGAAGAGAGAGAGAGAGTCTCTAGGAGGAATAAGTGATCAATGGTGTCAAAAGCCATAGATAGGTCAAGAAGGATGGGAACTGGGGGAAAAAAGGGTCAGTAGATTTAACTGTTACAAGATCACTCGTGTCTGTGGAGAGAGCAGTTTCCATTGAGGATTGAGCTTGGAAGTCATATTGCAAGAGGTTAAAAAGTGAGTGAGAGGTGAGATAATGGAGGCAGTGAGCACAAGAGTTCAAGGGCAAATAACAGCATAATGTTGAACTGTCTAACTATAACATCAGGACATGTAACGGAGGAAAGTGAGGCCAGAGTAAGAATGAATGATGTGAAAAGAAGGGAAGTTTAGACTGAGGGACAGGAGACTTTGGTGAAGATAAAGAACAGGTTTAGGAGGAAAATAACAGGAAAAAATGGAATGGCATGTTCTGCAGAGCTTCACATGCTCTCAAAGAACTGCTACTACCACCAGCCTCTTCCCTGTCTGCCTGGATGTCTGTCTGGAATTCTCTAAACGGGAGATTACTTGACATGTTATATCAGGAAACTACCATACATCATCTGTAGGGGTCAATGTATTCCTCTAATTATCTTAAAATGTTTTCTTAAAATATCAGACCATGGGGACAGCTAGGTGGTACGGTGGATAGAGCACCAGCCCTGGAGTCAGGAGGACCTGAGTTCAGATCTGTCCTCAGACACTAGACACTGGCTGTGTGACCCTAGGCAAGTCACTTAACCCCAATTGCCTCACCAAAAAAAAAAAATACGTATACATCAGACCATGGATTTGATTGATCCCTATTAACTTTTAAATTTCCTTCTCAATGAGCCTCTTTCCATCACTGTACCCTCTAAGTTTTGGTTCTGTGGGGTACAAAGAACCTCTAAAAGCTACAGGTTTGTATTTTATTCATCAGAGCACCAGCTCAGCTCCAACTACCCAGAGAGGCCAGACTGGCACTCAGGAGAGATCTAGTCTAGAGTATCATTCTTATGTCTGCTAATAACAGTTGAATTTTTGTATTCTGGGGTTCTGCTATTAACTCAAACCCAGTATGTTTGCCAATCAGTGCCTCACCTTCTCTTGACTTGTTTCTCTTGATGCCATCATAATTCCCCCATGACTATTCACAAAACAACTTTAGGCATTTTTAATACTACTCTCTTATGTTCCATATTCAGTCAGTATTATTCTGATTCTCTCATTTCTATCCCTTTCCATTCTTATGACCTTCACTTTAAATGTAGCCCCTTATTATCTCCCATCTCAGTTATCCACAGTGCCTTCTAACTAGTAAACCTGCTCCAGGCTCTCTCTGTTCCAAGTAAAAATAATATAATTTAGAAATGGTTAATGAACCTTAGTAGCCATGTAGTCCAGAAAAAGGATCCCCACCATCAGATACCCAACAAACAGTCATCAACCTCTGCTTAAAGACCTCCTTCCAAAGAATGAGGGGGAAGCTACCGCCTCTCAAGGGAACCCAATCCACTTGTAGATACATCAAACTTAGTGTGGCCTCTTTTCAACTTCTAACCATCCTCCCCACTTCTGCCCTTTGGAGCGAAACAAAATAAATCTGAACCCTTCATGTGATTGTCCTTCAAATGCTTGACAGTTTTCATGCTAAGCACTGATGTGAAATCTTCACTTGACTTCGAATCTTCACTTCTTCCCACCTCCATGTTTTTCAGCCATGGCTTCAATGGCACTCTTCAAGGCCCTTAATCATCCTAGTTGCTCCCCTCAGGATGGCTTGAGTATCCTTTCTAAACTGTGGCACCCAGAACTGAATAGAATGCCTTTGACATGGTCTTGTATCCTGTAGCAAGGCTGTCAGTCACCTCCTTATTCCTAGAAGCTTTACACTCAAGTAACCCAATATCATAATAACTTTTTTGCGGAGGCCATATACTGTTGACTCACTAAAACCCCATACCTCTTCCATACAAACTTTTGGTTAATCATCTTGTTCTTGTGAAGTCAAATTTTTGGACCCAAGCATGAGACTTTTCAGTTATCCCTATTATTTGATTCAACTCCAGTGTGCATGCCTGTTGAACTCTTTTTTGATCCTGATTTTGTCATCCAGTTTGTTAGTTATCCCTTCTAGCTCTGCAGTATCTGAAAATTTGATAAACATTCCATCTGTGCCTTATCTAAGACAAATAGCACAGGGCCAAGCCCAGATATCTGAGGCACTCCACTAAAGACCTGCCAAACTGACATTGAGCTATTAATGACTACTATTTGAATCTGAATGTTCAACCATTTCCACCAGACTGACCTTAAAAGTCTCTTTATATAAATTTTTTTCAAAAGCTTTTGATGGCTTCCCGCAACATATGTAGGATAATGTCCAAACATTTTAACATGTCATTCAATTGAATTCAGCCAAATTTGATTTTAAAACATTTATTAAGGTCCTACACAACTATAAGCATTGGGAGACACGGTTCTCCCAGTGGAAAAACCTTGTCCATCATTAACATACTGAAACCAGTATTTTACTAGGACTCTACTTCTAAAGAAGAAAAGTGGTTAACTGGCCATCCACTGGCAATATAGACTTACATAGGTTGGCCTGGGGTTCCCCAATGCACTACTCATGAAGTTAGATGCCTTTGTCTTCTTCTAGTATTTCACATGCACCCCAAGAGTAACAGTCAGCAACAACTCCACGGGACAGAACATTAGAAAGCCTGATGGCTGAAAATCACTCTTTGCTCTTTTAAAAGTGACACTAGAGTTCATTACCAATCAGGACCCTTATGGTTATTCTTCATGGTAGTTAAGCTGGGAGTTACTCAATTCTACACATAAAGCTCAGTTTGGAAATAGGCAGTTTAACAGATATTATATCGGGAGATTGCCACATACAGAAGGGGAAACTGGCTTGCTCTAGGTCACCCCGTTATCACCTGGAGATGTATAAGCTATCACAATAGTAATAATTTGAAATTTCTGGAACATAGACGCACTCTAAACAGGAGGATTACATTTTTTTAAAAAGAGCAGTCCTTAAGGTAAAACCTTGAGAAACATACTTGCAAAATTTTTCAGATCTAACCACAGAGATTGTATTTTACAAGAACAAAAGTGGTTCTTCCAATTATCCCTCAGATCTTAAAGGAAAAAGGTGTGTGTAGGAGGAGGGGAACATGTACAAAGTGAAAAGAAACTTAGCTATTACAAGTTCAGAATCTGGCCACATTGACTTTTCTCTTAAAAAAAAAAGAAGGAAATATTTAAGGAGTTAAAGGACTTGAGATAATTGGTAAATGGGTCCTACAGAGACTTGAAAATAGATGAATTAGAGAGAAATCTCATAGAAACTATCATCATCATCATCATCATAACTAGCATCTATAAATCACTTTAAGGTTTATACATGTCATCTCATTTTATCCTCACAACAACCTGAAGACATAGATGCCTATTTTTACCGATGGTTCCCCATTTTAAAGATGAGGAAACTGAGGCAAACCAGCTAAGTGACTTGTTCATGGTCACAGAGCCAGTAAATATCTGAGGCCAGATTTGAGCTCAGGTCTTCCTGACTCCAGGTCCAGCTATCCACTGAGCCACCTTGCTAGCAATTGGTTGTGTATATAAGGAAGAAAAAAAAACCCTACAATGTTTTAAGTATCTTACCTAGACTGTTTTTGAGAAGGAATTGTGGTTCACACTTCTGGGTTTGAAAGAAGGTTTATTTTTTTTTTTTGTTCCCTGTTGCCTTAGCATTGTCCTAGCAACAGTCTGCTTTCTGAGTAGGTAAGTACAGAGAGGCTACTTGGTGATCCACTCTTTGGCCATAGCAACCCATGAGACAAAGAAATATACAAAACAGCTCACAGCCAGAACAGTGGCAGAGTGGTGGAAGAGAAGTTAGAAATACCACAATTTTTAGACTATCTACAAATTTCAACTTATAGCTATTGGTTTTTTCTGAGACCCTTATCCAATGATCAGTGAGTGTGAACAAACCATTCACTGGAGGAGCTGGATCAGGTCAATATTGACACTTCAGCAAAAACAAAAGCAGAAGAAAGAAGCCACAGCTAAATGGGAACAATGGCTTATAGGTACTCCTTAGAGAGACAAAAGAGTTTGTCTAAAGGCAACCAGAAACATTTCATGGGACATTTGGTCATCTTACAGTGCAGTATAAGTAGTACTCGTGATAAGTATTTGGGGAAAGAAACCATCCTGAAAATAATCACAGCATATATACCATCAGTTGCAGGGAATAAAGATGTAGAGAACCCTATGAAGATCTCGGTAAGATCCTCCAAATTAAATCAGTTTATACTTTGATTGTTGTCAAAGGATATTAAAGAAGCATATGGTGTGTGTGAGAAGGCTGCAACTTGTCATGTATAACAAATGAAGAACTTCAAAGAAAGGGAGTAAAAGATGATCTCTGGGAATGTATGAAAGAAAAAGATGTACTCGTCATGTGGTAAGGATTAAGGATGAGAAATGAACAGCCCTCCTGCTCCACTTGGACATATCAGAAGAAAGCAAGGAAGGCCCTCTGGAGTGTTAGATGCCTACCATCCCCCATATATGGAAAAATATGGACAAAAGCTGTACAGGAAGGACATGTATGGATTTTGATCTGCTTGGTTGAAGGAGCATCCACATTGATGTAATCTTAGAGTGAACTGAGTACCCGTCTTGGTACAACTCACCTTACTTGAGTATTACTGACAAATGTGCATATGTACACTAGATGGCCTCTGAAGTCACTGAAAATTCCGAGAATCTGTGATCCAAGATTCTGTACTTTTGGAGGTGAGTATGAATTGAATAGTGATCATTTTTTTGGTTTGGGTTTGGTAGCCTGTTAACTCTGACAACAGGCACTCTATTTTTGGCTAGGGCTTTCCCCATTCATTAGGATTCATCTTCCAAGTGTGGTGTCCAATCATTGGGCAGGACTGTTAGAAAGGGATGAAGTCAGGTGGCAGTCATGTTTAATGTGGGCCGGAAGCATAAGAACACTCCACTTGGTTCAGTCGTAGCCAAGCAAACATGAAAAGTGTGGGCCGACGAAGAACTTGAGGGATGGGAAGTCTTTCCAGGTTCCTGCCAGGTCACTGAAAAAACCACGATGCCACATGTGCCAGCCACTCTATACCAAGTCACCCTTCTGGTTCTGAAAAACACCTTTGCCGTTGGGTCAGTTACAGAGAGGACTGAGCAACCTCCATACGATAAAAAGCCACTCTCACCCTCTAGTGGGCCAGGCCTGGCTGCTTGCAGAGTTTGAGGCATGGGCAGGGCTGTTCTTAGGAGCCCCGACTCCCTAAAGAAACATAGCAGGTGTCACCTGGCATGCAGGAAAGGCAGCTCGGGCTGGAGTCAGGGGGCAGAGGAGGTGCCCCTGACAACTACTATTAGTGAACAAGTAGGCCAAAAAAAAAGAAGAAACACATCTGCTTAGTTACTTACTTAGACTTGGGTCTTATGCTTTTCTAAGATTTGGTTTTTTCCTGTAGAAAAGATCAGATATTCAGGTGCCCATAAGCTTGTTAAATGATCTGCAGACCTACTCCAAAAAATAAAGTTATCTTTGGCAGCTGGCTAGCCCCTCTGGATTCTGAACTTTATATCTACTTTACCTGCTTCTTCTGGGAATGAGTTAGCCTGCTGGCTTTTATATTCCCTTCTGGCAAGGCTGCATTTTAATTTTAATCCCTTCCATTCTCTATTAAATATAGGCAGCTTGGTGAACAGTAGAGAGAACATAGAACTTGGAGTAAGAAGTCCTGAGTTTAAATGGAGTCTGACATACTACTAGCCATGTGATCCCAGGAAAGTCACTTAACCTCTCTGTGCCTCAGTTTCCACATATGCAAAATGGGGATAATAATAGCACCTTCTTTCCAGGTTTGCTGTGAGGATCAAATGAAGTAATTGTAAAGTGCTTTGCAAACCTTAAAGTGATATATAAATGCTAGCTCTTATCATTATTATATGAGATATTTGTAAAGCATTTTGAAGACCTAAAAATATTATATAATGTATTTATATAGTATATAAAGTAATATATAGTGTATTATATAAAGTATTATATAATCATAACTACTTTGAATATAATGTGGTCATTTTTTTTCCTTCCTTTGAGATAAATTGAATTGCAACCGTCAGTTCTGAACCACAAGGGCATGCAACAATTGCTTCTTAAAAGATCTCTTAACTTGTTATCTTTCCCAGGAGCACCTCAGCCCCTTTTATCACTTGACAGTGGAGCACCTCATCTGAATTCTAACATGACATTCCCAAGTGTGCTTTCTGAGGAAGTGGAAATGACACACACACAAACAAAGATGGTAAAATTGGTTGGACTAGACCAAGTATGCATAAGGGAGGTCTATTGCATGAGGTGACATCATTTTAAAGGGGGAAGTCAATTCTCAAGTAATCTGGTGGGAAGGACACCAAAGGTGCTACCCAGAAAGAGCATCAATAACTATTCATTGATATGCCCACATTCCCTTCTATATAAAACTTTCACAAGAATGATCTAAACCTGCATTGAGGACGTCAGAGGGGAACAAGGAGACTTTCATTAGCAATATCCTACAGCAGTTCACATCTTTACCATCACGCAACTGACTAAAAAATGTAGAGAATACAAGTTCCTACTTTGCTTATTTGTTGATTTTTAAAAGCATTTGATATAATGGAGAAAAATGCTGCCTTAAAGATTTTCAGTAAAATACCTCCCCATGGACATATCAGAATTATGCAAAATTCCTCCAAAGGTATAACGGATAACCTTGTTTAATAACACTCTAATCATTAATAATAAGGTAGGCATAAAACAGGCAGATGCCATTGTCATACAGGACAGTGGTCGCATGTAACTTCCCTATTAACCAGGGATTCTTAATCTGGATTCTGAGCATTTCTTTTTATAATATTCTGATAACTATATTTCAATATAATTGGTTTCCTTTGTTATCCTATGTATTTTATTTTATGTAGCTACAAACACTATTCTTAGAGGGGACCATAGGCCTCACCAGACTGCCCAAGATCTCCATAACACAAAAAGGTTAATAACCCTTATTACAGATGGTGAGGTCCTTCAGGTGCTCCTATTTTGGTGACACGCTGATTTAAGGAAATCTCAGCACACTTTAGTCTCCTAACTGAGATCCAAAATCATTTTTTTTGGTTTTTGTTTTTTGGCTAAGCAATGGGGTTAAGTGACTTTCCCCCAGGGTCACACAGCTAGTAAGTGTCAAGTGTCTAAAGCTGGATTTGAACTCAGGTCCTCCTGACTTCAGAGCTGGTGCTCTATCCACTGTACCACCTAGCTGACCCCCACAATCATTTAAAGGGTTCATTCTCACTCAACACAGGAAAAACCAAACAGATGAAATTTATTGTCCAAACTACAGTATGTAGTTGGATGAACAATATATAGAGCTTGTAAATAAAGAAGAGACCCTGGAAATGGACCCAGAATTTAATAGGAAGAGGAGAGTGGATTCATTTGCTTTTAGAGAATTGAAAAGTTATTTTAATGACCCTGACTTTTGCCCTGAAATAAAGACATGTTTTTTAAATTTTTAATTTATTGTAAATATCAAGCTTTTTGTTTTCTCCTACCTTCCCAATCTTCCACTTCAGAAACAAAGAACTCTAATAACAAATAAGCATAGCCAAACAAAATATATTGATCATCTCAAAAAATGTGTGTCTCATTCTGTATAATTAGTCCATCCCCTGTGTCAGGAGACAGGTAACATTATTCATCATGGTTGATCATCTTTCTTATAGCTTTCAAAGTTGTTTGGTTTTGCCAAATTGCTTTTATGGTGTGAACTGTGAATTGTTTTCCTGGTTCTTACTTCCCTCATCATCAGTTCATATAAGTTTTCCCAGACTTCGCTGAAAGCTTCACTTATATCACTTCTTACTGCATAACAGTATTCTGTTACATTCAAATAAACAAGCATTCAGCCATTCCCCAGTTGATGGGCACCTTCTTGATATCCAGTTCTTTGCCACTACAAAAAGCTGCCAAAAACATGACTTTTTCTCCTTTCTTTGATATCTTTGTACATATAGGACTAACAGTAGTACAGCTAGGTCAAAATGTAGGCAGTTTAGTAACTTTTGGGGTGTAGTTCCAAATTGCTTTCTAAGATGGCTCAACCAATTCACAGCTCCCCAAAAGAGCATCACCATCTTTGTCTTCCTGAAGCCCCTGCGATATCTGTCATTTTCCTGTTTTGCAAGGGTATGTTGTTGGAGGACCAATGACATCAGGAGGGTGTGTCTTGACTTGCGAGTGAATTGGATTTAAGCAGGGATTGTCTTTTACTTTTCTTCAATTTCCCAGTGCTTTGCACAGTGCCTGGCACGTAGTAGGTACTTAATAAATGCTAGCTGACTGACTACAACACAGAGAAGTAAATACAAAGTAATCGGAGTGGGGCAATACCTGGAGGAATCAGACAGTTTGATAGAAGGTGGCACTTGAGACTGAGGTATTCCAGGTATGGAGACAAGAGATGGAAGGCCATGTATACCAGGGCAGCCAGTTTGGCTGAAATGTAAAATGCACGTGGAGGAGTAATGACAGATGAGCCTGGGAAAATTGGTTGAAGCTCAATAGTGAATGATTTTAGAAGGAAAAATGGAAGGAGTTTGGAATTTTTTAATTAATTAATTAAATTATTAATTTAACTTAAATATACAATAAGAAAAGAAAAAGAAACATATAAACTTAAATCTTAAAACTTAAAAAGAAAATAAGAAAATAGCATTGCCATGTGCACAGCAGAATGTAAGAGAGGATTCAAATTATACAATAAACTTCCATTTCAAGAAAGCTTATATAATAAATACTACACATTGTGTTCCAAGCTGTCCATCTTTTCTTTGCTTCCTTGTAAGTTTTCTTGTGTTCTCTGCTGTGCACTTTTTACTTTGTTCTTTCCCCTCCCCCTTTCCCCCCCCCAAAGCTACAACTAAGCTCAGATATATTTGTGTATGTGTATAGGTATATGTATATATGCATATATATACATACATACGCATATATATGCATACATAAAAACAGATTCATATACTTACATACACATACATATACTTAGATATCTATAATCATACTCTTGTATAGATACATACATTCACATGCATCTATGTAAGATCGTACCATACTCGTTTGTCGTCTGTTTCTCCGAGGGTGGATAATGTCTTCTTTCATAGGTCCAAGTCTTTCCCTATTTTTCTAAGTCCACCAACTCATTGTTTCCTATACCACAGCAATATTCCAACCTTATACTGTCTGGTTATTTTAAATTGTCTACAACAATACTGATTAATATTGCTGACATATAGTGTAGTTTCCCTATTTTTCTCTTCTGGTTAAATCCATTTTGTTTTTGTTTTGTTTTGTTTATTTTTTATTAATTTATTTTGAGTAATCAACAATCACTTCCATAAGCTTTTGAGTTTTAAATTTTCCTCCCCCCTCTTCCCACCTCCCTCCCCAAGATGGCACACAATCTAATATAGGCTATACATATACATTCCTATTAAACATTTTCACGTTGTAAGGAATAATTAGAACCAATAGGAGGAACCACAAGAAAGAGGAAACAAAACAAAACAGAAGGGGAAAAAAAGAGCAAATAGCTTGCTTCCATCTACATTCAAACTCTGTAGTTCTTTCTTTCTTTGGATGCGGATCGCATTTTCCATCATGAGACTTTTGGAGATGTCTTAGATCCTTGCATTGCTGAGAAGGGCTAAGTCTATCAAAGTTAGTCATCGAACTATGTGGCTGTTGCTGTGTACAACGTTCTCCTGGTTCTGCTCACCTCACTCAGCATCAGTCCATACAAGTCTTTCCAGGTTTTTCTGAAATCCGCCTGCTCATCATTTCTTATAGCACAATAGTATTCCATTACATTCATATATCACAACTTGTTCAGCCATTCCCCAACTGATGGGCATCCTTTCAATTTCTAATTCTTTGCCACTACAAAAAGAGCTGCTATAAATATTTTTGTACTTGTAGGTCTTTTCCCCATTTCTATGATCTCTTTGGGATACAGAGCTAGAAGTGCTATTGCTGAGTCAAAAGGTATGCACATTTTTATAGCCCTTCGGGGGTGGTTCCAAATTGCTCTCCAAAATGGTTGGATCACTTCACAACTCCACCAATAATGCATTAGTGTTCCAATTTTCCCACATCTTCTCCAACATTTATCATTTTCCTGTTTTGTTATGTTGGCCAATGTGATGTGATACCTCAGAGTTGTTTTGATTTGCATTTCTCTAATCAATAGTGATTTAGAGCATTTTTTCATATGACTATGGATGGCTTTAATTTCTTCATCTGAGAACTGCCTGTTCATATCCTTCGACCATTTATCAATTGGGGAATGACTTGTATTCTTACAACTTTGACTTAGTTCTCTATATATTTTAGAAATAAGGTCCTCATCAGAGACATTTGTATGATTAAATCTACTTTAGTTTTAACTTTTTCTGAGATCATGATTTACTGCTCCTGCTTTCTTTCCTAATAAATTCTACTCCTCATCTTTATTCTGTTTGTGTGTATCTCCTATTTCCTATCCTTCCTGACTGCTCTTGACTTGCCCTCCTATTACTTAACCTACCCCACCACCAAAGATCCCTCTCTTATCCTCTTCCTCCCACCCTAAAATCTCTCTTATCATTTCTCCCCTCCCTATCCTCTAAGCCTTTTATTTCTTTCTGAATTTAGAAGACTTTATACTCTTCTATGCATTGTTCCCTCTTTAAGCCATTCCTGATGAGAGGTTTCCAACTACCAACTCCCCCACCCCCACCATCTACTTCCTCTGTGTCATTTATGTAAGATAATTACTCTTTTTATCTTTTCCTAGACCATTTGCTTTTTAGTATCATATAATATTTAACTCTACCCCAATCTTTCTTTTGAACTACCCAATTACTGACAATCTTAGACATACAATTTATATTTCCTCACATAAAAAGTGAACAGTCTGTCCTTACTGAGTCTCTTGTAATTAGTCTTTGATGGTTGCCTTATATTTCTGAAGTAACATGAAACCAGTGAATCTTCTTGAGCTTGGGGGACTGATGTAGTCAGACCCATGCTTTAGGACCGTCAATCTCATAGCTATTGGGAAGTTGGAGTAGAGAGGTTACACCAGGTTCCCAAACTTATTTGCCTTACTGTCCCTTTAAAAAAAATTACTCAGTGCCCCCTTGGAAATCTATTTCTTTAACCCTTTAACATTTTTTAAAATTTGCGTCATTTCAAAAAAATTAAAAATATTTTTAAATGACATCTTAAATTTAATAATTTATGGTAAATTTGTGTTTTTTCCCTACATGTTCGGCAAGCTTTGAGAAAAATAAACCTTCACATGCAGCCTAATTTTGTTTGTCTTTTTAAGAATGAACTTAGAAATGGTTGCCATATCTCATTTGATTTTTACAACAATCCTGGAAGGTGGGTGCTATTATCCCCATTTTGTAGATGAGGAAATTGAGGCAGGCAAAAAGTACAGTGATTTTCCAGGCTCACAAGGATAGAAAGGGTCCGAGTCTGTATTTGAACCCAGTTCTTCCTGACTCCAGGCCAGGGGTTCTACCCACTGAGGCACCTTGCTGCCCCTAATTTGTGCAAAACACGCGAGAAGCCGTTTTGGAAGCGGGGCAGACACAAGGCTAGTATGAAAGGCAGGGTATCGAGGGGCAGGGATGGCGCAGGAACGGGCTGCAAACACCCTACAAGCAATCCTTGAACCCAGAGTGCTCACGGTCAAGGTAATGCCCGTTTTCCGAGGTTTAATGACCCACTATTCGCTTCTCCTGCAGTACCCTTACCTCCCGCTTTCAAACGGAAGGTGTCAATCTTATTCCCAATAACTCCTGCTGCCCTGCAGTCGCGGAACCGAACAACGTCCCGAAACGCACCCCAGGCATCTCCTTGGAACCAAACAGCCCGCGGTGCCCTATGGCCACCGTACTTAAAGGCTGAAAAAGGGCATCTCAGGGCATTGAAGCAGGTCCGCGGCCATGTTGGAAAAGGGCGCTATTCGGAGACTAGCGAAGAACCTTAGTCTGAGTAGGGGCAGTGAAGCCAGTGCGCCGCCAAGTTTTCTGAGGGCACCAAACGACTTCCGGCGCCTCACATCCGGGCAGTGCTCATGTGACCAAATCCGAACGGCTTCTTCGGACTCTAGGGTCTCCGGAAGGTCACTTCCGGTCGCTTAGGCTGCTGAGGCGGGGCGTCCGTGAAGGGAAGGGTGCGCGCGAGCTCTCCGGAGCGGAGGATGAGCGGGCCCGGGCCGGGCGCGAGAGGCCCCGTGAGCTTCGCCGATGTGGCCGTGTACTTCTCCCCGGAGGAGTGGGGACGGCTGCGCCCCGCGCAGAGGGCCCTGTACCGGGACGTCATGCGGGAGACCTACGGCCACCTGGGCGCGCTGGGTGAGGGGCGCGGCCGGGGCGGGGGCGCGGGGCGCACGCCCATCGGGCGGGTCTTGCCCTCCACTGTGAGCTCCCAACTTTCTGTTCGCTTTCCAGGTTTCCCAGGCCCCAAACCTGCCCTCATGTGCTGGATGGATGAAGAGACAGAGGTCTGGGGTCCGGATGCCCGCGACCCCGAGGAGGCGGGGGAGAAAGGAACGGAAAATTTAGGAGGTGAGGTGATAATCCAGCCTAATACACCCATGTTTTTCCTGGGTAAGCCCTAGAAAAGCCTGTCTCCCACCCAGAGTTGTCCCATTCACGAGCCTTTTGTATTGGGATCTTCCGGCACCAGAGTAGTGTTTGTTCTCCACACTAGCTAGTTTGGGGAGAATAAATCCCTTATTTCTCGGTTGTGCAGAACTCATCCTCTCTCCTGTGCCCCTAAAATAATTCAGGTATCCTTGTTCAGTCGTGTCCAACTCTTCCTTGACGTCATTTGGGTTTTGCAATTTTATGCCCAGCTCAATTTACAGATGAGGAATTGAGGCAAACAGGGTTAAGTGACTTTCTCAGGGTCACCCAGCTAGTAAGTGTCAGAGGCTGGATTTGAACTCAGGAGATGAGTCTTTCTCACCCCAGGCCCAGCACTCTAGCCACTGAGCCCCCCCCTAGCTGCCCCTTAAGTTTGCTAAGGACTGCCATCATCAGTTATCTTCCTACTTCCTAATGATTATTGTGTTATACTAGTGTGTCAGTGAATGATTAGATTAAGGTTTGATGAGCTATTTCTATTCCTGAATGCAGGGCCTCAATGAATCCTAAAACTGTTATCAATTTAGAAACTTTATCATTATTATGAATATTAGTTAACTATGCAATTAACATTATAATATTCACTCATGTTGCAGTTGAACCTCTCTAATCCTTCTGAACCTAGACTGGCTATGTGGTGACTGGGTTACTCCTAAAAAATCCACAAGCACACCCGCAGACACCAAACTAGTTACAAATAATTAATCCCCTTTAATTATCCTGAGGGTATGAGTCCCATGTCAGTTTCTGTGAATCCCAACCATTCCCCATATCACTTAGGAGATCTGTTTGTTGTCTTATTTGACATAGGAATTATTGGACAAAGCCTGACAGTTCCAAGTTCTAGAGTCTCTTTTTTTTTTTCTAATAGGAGTCAGGAACAGGGCTGAGAAGTGGAAGAGAGAAGAACCTGGAGTCCAGGAGTCTGATGAAGCACATAGGAAGAACAGTCTGTCAGTTGAGGCTCTGCCAGGCCCACCCCAAGAACCAAGAGACTCTTCCTGCACTGACTGTGGCAAGACTTTGCGTAAACATTCTATCACTGCACTCCACCAGTGTAATCCCAACCGAAAGCGGTCATATATATGTCCTGATTGTGGACGCCACTTTGCTTATCCCTATTTACTGGTCAGCCACCAGCGAATGCATTCTGGGGAGCGTCCCTATCCTTGTGATCAGTGTGAGGCACGATTCTTCCAAAAGAAATACCTTGTCCAACACCAGCTAATCCACACAGGTGAGAAACCCTACACGTGCCCTGAATGTGGACGCTGTTTCAGACAGAGAAGGTCCCTAGTCATCCATCAGCGGCGCACACACACAGGTGAGAAGCCCTATTCTTGCCCTGACTGCAAGCGCCAATTTGTCTATCCCTACCAACTGGCTACTCATCGTCGTACTCACACAGGGGAGAAACCATACTCCTGTGCTGAATGTGGCTGCCGATTCACATATTCTTCCTTACTGATAAGCCACAGGCGTATTCACTCTGATGAAAGGCCCTTTCCCTGCCCTGAGTGTGGGAAGCGGTTCAAACGGAAGTATGCCCTTGAAGCACACCAGTGGATCCATCGTTCTGGCACTGAGATTTGGAGAAGCATGCCATCAGCAAGACAGTCTGCAGCAGAATCCTCTGACCAGGGTATCCGTGATCCCCCTGTGCACTGCCGTTATTACCCAGATATATTCCAGGAATGTGGGTGAAGGAATCTGGGAGAGACGTGAAGAAGCTCACACCTACTGGCTTGTATCTTCTTTATAAAGTATGAGGTCAGGCCGTCTATGTGTTGGGAGGGAGTAATAAGAATTGAGGGTTTAAAGAAACAAGAGGTCTGGTAGAACTGCTGTGAGGAGTGTTACGGAAACAGAAGGAGATGGGTTAAAGGACTGATGATCTCCATTAGGAGTTTAAGTTGGACAGCTGATCATAACAGATCTGTTTCTGTTGGATTAAGGTTGAGACTCCAGCCTTTTTTGGTACCCTGCTCACAGTGCCAAAGTGTTTTGGAATCAAGAAGGGAGTTAAGCGTAGGTTCTACCCCTGAGGCTCTCAATGTAGAACAAGTCAAGAAGGCAACACTCCCTCCCCTACAATTTTGCCAAAACTGGATGTAGGTTGGTTTTCTTTTATTGCCTTATGAAAAACCTGGTAGGTGGTGTCCCACTCAGACATGGGAATGCCTTGTGACCAATTAGCCTATTAGATGATCCATGCACTCACCCCATAAAATAGAATGACTCTAGGCAGCTGGCTAGTCACCTTAAAAGTTTAAACATAAAATCTCTGGTCCCTACCAGTGTGTGTCCTGCTAGTATCCATGTCCCATTCTAGAAAAGATGCTCCATATATTATCTACCAAATTTATGTTACTCTAAAAGGGAGAATGTCCATTGTTTTATGGCAGAGGCCTAAGACACAGTCTCTTCTTTTTATTCTAATTTCTGTCCCTCTGTTTTCCTTCAACTCAAGACCTGAGTATTAAGTCTGGAGAGTGGGGTGCCCCATGTGTAAGGTAGCTATATATAGTACCATCATCCTCACTGTAGTACATTTTCTTCCACTGGGATAAATAGAATTTTAACTGATTCAGGCCTGCCATGGAAACAGACTTCTTTATTAATAGATCTCTTTACTTGTTATCTCCAGTTACAACAACTCACAGGGCTCTTCTAATCTGTAACACAATTGTTCCATCACTATATTGACCTTTCTCATGGAAGGGACATGTAATTGTCTGTCTTTTTTTTTGTTCATCCTTCTGACCTTTTATAGGTGTGTTTCCCTGTTCTTGTTCAGTTTCGTAAAAAGCTTTCTGGACTGTCCCTTACAAGTGCCTTATTCATAGTTGTCTTGATTATTAAATTATTTTGTCTATATGAGATGTCAGACTCTACTTTGTTTCTTTTGCCAAAAAACATGTTACCTGTTTGCACAAAGAATTATTTTAAATAAGTGAGGTGGTCTTAATTAAAGATCCGTAACTTAGAGTGTATAGGTGTCCTGCCAAATCCTGTAAAAACAAACTGGGCTTCTATAATTTTCCTTGGCGTTTCCATGTTATGCAAAGTTCTGTCTAGCTCATGCAGTTTGTTTATATACTTATCTTGAGGCGTAGTTCCCCAAACCATCGATTTGTCTGATCTCAAATTCTTTTAAAATTTGTTTCTATTGGCCGTATTTCATTGGTAGATATACAGAGGATTTGGAATTAGAGGACCTGGAATTGAATCCCCACTTTGGAACCTATCTGTGTGGTCTTGGACAAGTATTTTAATCTATCTGGGCCTCAGTTTCTTCATCCGAAAAATATGGGGCTTGGACTGAATAACCCTTAAGGTTCGTTGCTGTTCAGAATTTGTTATCTTACATGGGGTAAGCATTTCCTCTAAGCCATTTTTCTTTGGGGATACCTCCCTTTCTGCATCCTTTTCTTTTCAGAGGCACCCCTGTCTCTTTTCTACACGATGTTAACATTGGCATATTTCTTTGAATTTCATTTCCCTAGACTACTCACTAGTACCTTGTAGCAAATTCCAAAGCTGGGATTTTGGTATCCCCTTAATTCATTTCAAGCATTTATTAGGTATCTACTGTAGTATTTTAGAAATATATATATAATCACACAGCACACTGTTGTAGGTTAGAGGTAGGTAGTTCTGGTCAGGACGATACTTTGTAACTTTTCCGAGATAGGGCTCAGATGTTCCCATTAAACCTCCGCAGCCAAGAAGCTGTGATGGCGGCCATCTTGGAAGAGGGCGCCTGCAGGCATCCGCGCAGGAGGAATCACCTGTGTAGGGGGAGTGAAGTCAGCGCGACGCCATGTGCATTTCGGGCACTATTCGGCTTCCGGTGGCTGCAGCCTCTGAGACAATTTCTCACGGCCTTGGTCCAGCGTCGGTCCCCTCTTTGCCTCTGCCTGGGACGAGGATCTCGGATCTCGCACCCGGGCCTCGTTCCTGACTCCCGAAGGCGGAGGCACGAGCTCTGGAGGGGGTGGGGCAGAGGCGGGGCAGCAGGTCGCGCACGCGCACACGCTCGCGCGCTCCTCGGAGCTGGGAGGGAGCCAGCTCTCCGGGAAAGCCCCGGGCTGAACGAGTACTAGAGGCCGCCCCGGGGACGATGAGCGGGGCCGGGCTGGGGGCGAGGGGCCCCGTGAGCTTCGCCGATGTGGCCGTGTACTTCTCCCCGGAGGAGTGGGGACGGCTGCGCCCCGCGCAGAGGGCCCTGTACCGGGACGTCATGCGGGAGACCTACGGCCACCTGGGCGCGCTGGGTGAGTGTCCGGCTGGGCTCCCCGAGCTGTCCTCCGGCCGGCCTCGTCTGCATGCGGGCCGCCACTGCTGGCCCCCTCATGGCCTTCCACGGAATCTGGCCCCATTTTCAGACGCCTTCTCTGTTTCCTCCCCAGGATTCCCAGGCCCCAAACCTGCCCTTATCTCCTGGATGGAACAAGAGACAGAGGCCTGGGGTCCGGCCGCCCAGGACCCGGAGGAGTGGGGGGGAGATGTGAGAACAGCTTGCAGAGGTAAGGAAGGAGGAAATGACTGAAGGCCCCGGTGGCCTCCCAGGAGAATCCCAGGAGCGTCTTTCAAGGAGCTAGCATCAGCACAGCTGAGAATCATGTAGAACACATTGAAAAATGAGTACCTGATGTAACCCAAGGAATGCTTGGGATAAATGGGAGGGGTGGATTAAAGATATTGACTTTTCAAGCCAGTATTATTGAAGAATTGTGGTACTCTAGGCAGAAACAGGGAAGATGGAAAGAAGAGATGATCTTTCCAAGGATAAGAGCTTAGTTTTGGACATGTTCCAAGATTGATGGGCTCTGTCTCAGCCCTTAACTAGATGGATGGTGAAATAGCATGTTTTAACTCCCAACAAAGAGGTCACAGAGAAGAGCGTGCAGATCTCTCCCTTAATTGTTTCTTTGGGGTCAGAGATGTTCTGACACAGCCATAATGAGGCTATCCCATCTCCGAAGCAGCAGTAAACAGCCCAGAGTGTCAGTTACAGATTCTCCTTTCAACTACAGCATCCCAGGTTAGGCGAGTCCTGACTCAGGAACATGAGGACGTTGATGTCTTTCACAGAAAGGCAGTTCTGTCTGTCATCAGATCAGGAATAAGCTCTATGGAATAGAAGAGGCTAGGTTCTGAGCTTTGTAATCTCCTTATCCCTCAGCAGGAAACTGGAACATAAACAAGGAGAAATGGAAGAAAGAAGAGCCTCAAGCCAGGGACCCTTTGGACATGCATGTGAGAGGCCAACTACTCGAACCTGGCATCAAACTCAACACACATCACTCAACACTCAACACAGACTCAACACACAATGGATCCTTGGAACTACCATCCAAGGCTGACTTCAACAAGACTTTACCTCAGCCCCCTATCCCAAAACCCAACTTGGACACTCAGGCTAGCCAGCGGCGCCATGCCTGTCCTGATTGTGGACGCCGCTTCACCTATCCCTCCCTGCTGGTCAGTCACAGGCGAATGCACTCTGGTGAACGGCCCTTTCCTTGTCCTGAGTGTGGAATGCGCTTCAAGCGGAAGTTTGCTGTTGAAGCCCATCAGTGGATCCATCGATCTTGCTCTGGGGGACGGAGGGGTCGTCGGCCTGGGATACGGGCTGTGCCACTTGCCCCTGTTCGGGGTGACCGTGACCCTCCTGTGCTATTCCGGCACTACCCAGACATCTTTGAGGAGTGTGGATGACCTACTTCACTGGGGATGGGGGAGAAGTGATTGGAGAGGAGCTGAAGGTCTAAGCATGGTCAGAGTGCTAGAGGTAGGCTCTGAAGGGCATGGAAGGGAGTAACCAAGTGAGACTTGGGACCTGAACCAGTTCCTCATGCCTCCTTTGGGGCATAATTCCTTATTTGTTTAAAGGGGGGGAGGTGTACCTGTAAGAAAATCCAAATTAAACTTTGTAAAAAATTCATTCATACAAACAGAAGTTATGAAATAGATTAAATTTTAATGAAGCCATACAGTAACTAGAAGTACAGTCTAGTCCAGCCTGCTGTCCATCTCCTCTTTAAGTATCCACTATATGAACAAAGTCATTGGCAGCACTGAGAAGACATACAGTGAGACGAGGAAGCATGAGAAGAAACTGGAGCTGGGAAAGATAAGCCATAGCTGGGTGGTCAGGTTAGGGGTTACAGTAGTAAAGACATTCTGAGTTAAGGCCCAGAAAAGTGGTTAAGGCAGAACTAGAGGTCCTGGACCAAATGAACGGTCCATTGTTGGCATAATTCAGATAACAAATATCACAGCAGGCAATAGTTCTGGAATCAGGGATAAATTTTGGGGAGTAAGGATTAGCAACCTATCAAGGGGTTTGGGTTAGAGAAGGCTGGGGGTGGTGAAGAGTTGGGAGACTGAAACAACATATAATGGGACAACAACCTCAAGCAGGGCATCAAGAGCCAACACTTGTAAAGGTAGGTTGGGGCGAACCGTGGCCCAGCCATGTGCTTGGAGTTTAGTGATGCTGGGATGATCATTTTGTTTCTGTGCACAGGATACACTGAAAAATGTAAAGACCAATCACATCAAGACCAGTTAGGACAGTATACTAGTGGTTCAGGTGATTGGTAATGATGACATGGCCTAGCCTAGTGGAAGTTCAGTTATAAAGGAACAAATGGAAAAACCACAATAGAAGAATTGGTAGCCGTGGCTTTGCAACTGTTTGGCTGGTGTGGGATGGGACATGAAAGACAGAAGAGTCAAAGATGATGCAGTTTCAAGACAGTTTCAAGCTTGAATGTTTTAAGAATGATAGTACCATTGACAGCAAAAGGAAGGTCGTGTTGAGGACATGGTTTGGAGAGCACAGCGGAGTGGAAGACTTGTGATTCGATTGTGTTGAGCAGTTTAAGGTGCCCACTGGACCAAGGTGGAGATTATCAAGTGACAGAGTTGTCAAAGACAAGACTTTGGGACTTAAGAATAGGCCTGGAGATAGAGATTTGAAAGTCATCAACATAAAAGTAATAGATATAGGAATGACATGATCATGAAGGGAAAGTATGAAGGGGGAAAAAAAAGGCAAGGACAAAGCTTTGGCAAATGCCTGTATTTATGGGGCAGGAAGGGAAAAGAGTGCAAAAGAGAGCAGTGAGAGAGGAAGCAAGCCTTGCAAGTCTTGTAATCCATGGGAAGAGTGTTAGAAAGAAGGAGATGGTCAACAGTGTCATGCTGCACAGTAGTAAAAGAGGATGAGGACTGAGAAAAGGCCATTGGTTTTAATTATTAGTACACTTCAGAAAAGTGGTGGGAACAAAAACCAGATTTAAAGTGGACATGAGGAAGGCCCTTAGCTGAAATACAAAATTCGTATTAGACAGTGACAAAGTTAACTTGTGTCAGGATTAGAAGGGATCTTAGAGATCCTCTTGTTCAAACCTATGATCTTATAACTTAGAAGACTGAGTTTTAGAGAAGTTATCTGGCTTCCCCAAGTTAACAGAAAGGCAAAATCAAACCAGAATTCAGATCTCCTTATCCTTGTTCTCTCTACAGCAGCACACTACCTTTAACTTTCCACCAAATTTAGGCAGTTCACAGACACAAAGGCAGACACACTCCTAGAGCAGGGGGAAGTATCCAAAGCCTCGAAACCATAATACCAAAGAAGCATATGAATCTCTTAACATGTGCTCCAAAACACGTTATGGTCTGAAACTTTGTTATCAAGGATAGAAACCATATAAGCTACATAAGGGATGCATCCCAGGACATAAACTCACTTTCTCATGCCTAGCTTGATTTTTGTTAATAAGCAGAGAGTGAATGAGCAGTTATTTCTGTGGTCACATTTATCAGAAAACTGCCTAATCTTTTTTTTGTTTGTTTTTTTGGTGAGGCAATTGGGGTTAAATGACTTGCCCAGGGTCACACAGCTAAGAAAACTGCCTTTTCTTAGTGCATGACTGAGAGTCTACTTGTTGGAGGCGAAACTTTAAGACAGAATTATCTTCTATTGAGTCAAATACCTATTTTGTAGGAGTAGGAGAAGTAATTAACAGAGCAAATCCTTGTATCCTCTGCAGTATTCAATCCTGTAACTCCAGAAATGTGGCTTGCCTTAGACAACTGTGAAAGACTATCATCTCCTCCTCCTTTTCTTCAAGGGTACCCATAGACATGTGCATCACTCTCAGATTTTATAAAAATGAGAATTTTTATCTTCCTTCCCCCAAAATGAGAATGTAGTCATATGGATTAGTAGCTTTGAAAGCCTCTCAATCACCTTTTTTGGGTGATAATATCCATAATTTCCCATTTTGTACCTTCCCCTCACTTGGATATTTAATGAAATGATCCCCCTATTGATTTCAAGGTTGTGTTACTTCCATCATGGATTTCTGTGATGCATACCTGTCTGCCTAAACATCACGTCAGTTCTCCCATGTAGCGTTAGGATCCAAATGTGATGGTTCCTTTGTCACTGATGATAATGAAAATAGGTGGTTAAAGGAACTTTGATGAATTTGTTTTAATCTGTTCCATTTCCATTCCAAGCATCCAGTTCCTGCTTGTTTAACCTATGAATGCTTTTTCGTTTATGTCACTCAGTTCCCATGTCAAGCTTTCTGTGGCATTTTTCCCTTCCATTACTTTTTGCTGTTTTATGAGATAATTCTTGTAATATCCATCTTCTTCAGCGTTTAACAAATGAGTTTGTATTTTAAACCACTTTTACATTTGTTACATCCTCTCTTCTTGGCAAAGAGAGCAAATATTTTCTGATCAAGGCTGTTTCTGTCCTCTTTTGGCCTCCTTACTGTGGCTGTTGCTTTACATTATGTATGCTTTTGTAGGAATAAGTGATATGGTCAACATCTTTGCCTTTTTCCATTTCCCATTTTTTCAGCCTTGACAAACTCATTTGAATAGATGAGGCTGAAACTGTTGCAACTGTCCTTCCAACAGAAGAATGATAAAGGGAGCAGAGACTGTTGGGAAGATTAATCTGGAAATAGTATGCTGGAATCACACTGGAAGGGATGTCAAATCCTACCAAGGAGACTGAAAAATGATTTTGCAATCAACACACCACTGGTGACCTTGAAGAAGAAGCAGTTTCATTGAGTGGTAGGTATAGGAATCTTATTTCTGGAAGTTAAGAATAGGTTGCAAAGTAGAGGCATTGAGTATAAAGTGCTCATGTGAGAAGTTTGGCAGTGAAAGAAATAGAGGGTCTACTACCAGGGTTAACATACAGGTCTTTTCCTATAATAAGTGACATATATATAGTATTTGTTTGCAAAGTATTTTGCATATATTACCTGATTTGATCTTCACAACAACCCTGTGAGGTAAACACTAGTTTTATGGAGCAGCTAGGTGGTGAAGTGGATAGAGCACTGGCCCTGAATTCAGGAGGACCTGAGTTCAAATCTAGCCTCAGACACATAACACTTAACTAGCTGTATGACCCTGGGCAAGTCACTTAACCCCACTGCCTAGCAAAAACAAACAAACCAACAAAAAAACTCTAGTTTTATTATTCTCCTGAAGGAACTGAAGCTAAGAGTTTAAGTAACTTCGTGTGTTCCAACCTAGTCATTTTACAGATGAGAAAACTGAGGCTCAGGGAAATTAAGTGACTCGCCAAAGGTCACACAAGACAGAGCCGGCATTCCAATTCAGGTCCTAAATTCTAAATCCCAACCTCCATCTATTAGGTAGCCACTTTCAAAAATGAGAAAACCAGGGCATGTTCTTGAAAATAAAGGGCAAGAAAGCATTGAGTAGGGAAACTGAAGGCCCTGGAGACAGCAAAGATCTTGAGATGAGTTAGGTATACTCTGAAAGGCACAGGTGGAAGAATTATTAACTTTTGAAATGAGATAGCTCTGCAGTTGAGCCTGAAGAGCAAGGAAGAAGAGGCAAGAACAAAAATAGAGAAATTTTGCATTAGGTGTGTCATCCATGATGAGATATAATAAATTTTTTCTCAACAAGATAACACAGCAGATTGGGGGTAGGGGGGGATGAAACTAAGAGAATGGAAGGTGGTTTGGAATAATAACTGTTGGATGTTTGTTAGGAATGATAAAACAGACTAATAGGAATCAATATGAATTTTTGGTGTCTCACATATGTTCCTTTATCTTCTGACTTCCACTGTTGTCACTTGAGTTTATAATAGTCTCCAACTTCTGGCTTTATCTCCAGGGTTTACAACCTAACATAGGCCCGGCACTCTAGTGTGGTAATTGGAGGGGGTGGGGATGGACTAAGGAGTCAGGAGATGTCAATTCTCATTCCAGCCCTACTACTAGAGACTACTGTGACATTACCAAGTCATAGCTTCTGTTTCTTTTCCAAGGGCTGTTTCCTTCCAGCTCTGAAATGTTTATCTATGATTCTATGGAGAAATCTTTAAAAACATAGGGGAGAAAGACTGGAAATGCTGGCGACAGAATGAGGTATTTGAGGGAGTAAGGTCCAGGGGATAGGATGAACAAAGCTGGGCCGGCTATGGGGGAGAGGTATTTCTTCCCTGATACTAGGGGAAAGAATGAGGAGGAGGATGACTAAGTAAACAAGTTCTCATCCCAAAGACTGTCAGTAAATGGGAAATGGGGTCGCATCCACTCAAAAGATAGTCACTGACTTCATGGATTTTGAGAGGATGGGGAGAACGACTCCAGGCTTGTGAGATGAAGCGATATTTGGCTAAGCCTAGGACCGAGTGATGGCGGGCGAGCGCAGGGGCGGAGAAAACGACCTCGGGTGCCCGCGGCCGGCCCCTCGGGTCCGCCCACCTCGGTCTGCGGATCTCCCTCGGACAACGACCGGAGCCCCAGCTCACCGCAACTGCCTCCGATACGGCTTCAGCGCCCGCCTCGGGGCGAGGGCAGCGGACCGCTGGCAGCTACAGGGTAAACTCGGCGAAACTCAACCGCCATCGCGTCTTCTGCCGGCATCTTCCGCTTCCGCCGGAAACCACGGGCGTCCGGCGGCTTCCCGGCGTCCCAGCCGTCGGCGTCGTGGGGTGACGTCACTTCCTGTGCCGCCTGCGCCGCTTCTTGGAAAAACTGAATTTTTTTCTCACTGGCTGAAGACGGAGCTCGGCACCGTGAACTCCTTCCCTTTCTTAGCATTTCCAGCCTGAAAACCAACTCTTCTCGCCGGGATAGAATAAGAGAAACGTGGGAATTCGAGCCCGCCTGGTGGAGGACCGAGAGCGCCGTGGAGACAAGTTTCAGATTTATGCCGCGCGTCACATTCGTCACCCCCGCAGCAGCCCCTGGAGCCGTTTGCGGTTGTCACCATTTTACACCGGAGGAAACCGAACGTTGTGCAGATCCCCAGTTTCCAGCAGCGGCCGCGCGGGACTGAAATCCGGAGCTAAGCAGAGGCCCAGGCTCTCTCCCCCACACCTGCCTCGTGGCATGCAGGGCTATGCTGATTCTGGAGTCGGTTTCACGTCTAGCCCCGAGATCAGAGAGTAACTTAAAATCCCCGAGCTTCAGACGACTCAAGACTATCTTCTAATCAGAGGTGCTTTTTTAAGTGGAAGAAGGTCCTGCTCTTGGGAAGTAAAATCCGAGATCCTTTTTTTTTTTTAATTTTTTTGGCAGTTGGGGTTAAGTGACTTGCCCAGAGTCATACAGCTAGTGTCAAGTGTTTGGTCTGAGGCCGCATTTGAACTCAGGCCCTCCTGACTCCAGGGCCGGTGCTCTATCCACTGAGCCACCTAGCTACCCCAATCCGAGATCCTTAATGTAAGTTCCTGATACCCTCTGCGGTTTAGGATAGAACGGCCTGCACCTGGTCCTTTTTTATTTAAACCAAGCCTGGGGTTAGAATGTTCCATGAATTGGCTCCTTATAAAGGATCATAGTCAGGTGTTTTTATTTTCTACCTTTCTTAAAACCTGTATGAACTCCAGAACTTCACAATGCATGTGACCTGAAGGTTTTTAAAGGACTCTTGGCGTCCTGCCCTCCCCTTGCTGTCCCCAGTGGAACTACCGAGGTAGCCTAGATTAAAACTCTCCCCTCTGCCCCTGAGGAAGCTCGGAAAGGTTTCCCTGCTTGATATACATTTGACTCCTAGAGATGCCAGAATGTCCAGTATTGTCAGCTAGCTTTTGATTTGGTGTATTTGAAGTGTGTGAGGGGGAGGTGCCTAAAGGCTTGGTCCCCTGTTCACATGTGAGTGTTCACATGCAGAGAGGTCACAAGTTCATATACCTGTTTAGACAGGCCATTTTTTTTTCTAACTCCCGATCCCCATTAAACTCTTCCTACCAGGACTTTTCAAGTTACGTGATTTAAAAAGAATTTCATAAACTTTTTAGTACTAAGATGAAAAAGTGATCATAAGAGGGAGATTGGGCAATTAAGATGGTACTACTATTATTATTTTGTTAGTGTGTGTGTATAATATATAACATATAAATCAAATGTAAATAGTTTGAAGGCAGTTTTTTTATTCCATGTTATTTATTCCATATTTTGTTGAGATTGTTTATAATAAACAAATGTTAAATCAAAGCAGTTTCACACTTTCATTTTAGGGTTGTTAGCTTCCCTTTCATTAGGCTAATAATCTCATTAGGATTATGAACCCTGAGGTGGTCTCAGAGTTACCCTCTGGCTTCTTCCAGTTCCTGATGCCTAATAGGAGACTCCATCTAATCAGGTGGAAAGCAGCTCCTCCAATTAAAGAAGGTCTGCTTTCTCTTTCTAGCTAACAGTGAGAATGGGTGAGAAATGGGAACCAGATTTTATCCAAGTTGTGAGGACTTGGAGATCCCCATCAATCACTTGGGGTTGAAAGATTCCTAGTTGATTCCAGAGACTTCATATCCAACTATTATTGATTCTTCCTGTGGGAAGACTGGCTGTCCCATAACCAGAGCAAGAATATACATCATGGCTAGAACAGGATCTTAGTTATGGATTCTCCCTATCTGCCAGCAGGTATCAGAATCCAGAACAAGGAAGAGGATATAAAGATAGAAAAGTCATAGTCTGACTCTGGGAGAGTGGACAGTAGATCCTGAGATCAAGAATGTTGACCTGACATGAGTCAAGGTCTTGGATCAGCCTTTATCTGAGGAAAACTGTGGCAAGACCTTCCCTAATCCAAATCAGATTAAGGGTCAGGGAACTCATAAGTCTTTGGCCCCTACCCCTGCCCCTGACTGGATGCTCTTTCACTAACCCCTTCAATTTGATTTCACACCAAGTGCACACTGGTGTGTGTTTGTAGTATGGAGCTTGGTTCAGAACTGGCCAACATGTCTCCCTGCATCTGCTCACCCACAATAACCTGAAGACCTACCTTTGTTCCCAGCATGGGATGTGTTTTAGCCAAAAGTGGGCTGTAAAAGCACACCACTAGATTTACCAACCTGGTGTTTCAGAACAGAGGGGCTGACCAGCTAGAGTAAGAACTGCCTACCCAGAATGACCTGAATTTCTCCCCCTCACCCCTCACTCCCCACCCCATGGGCTTTCAACACTACTCAGAGATCTTCTAAGAATGAAAGTGACCTCATTGATATGGGAAGAAGGATGATTGATGTTGAAGATCAAAGGACGGTCAAGAGCCAGGGTGCAAAGAAGACAGAAAACCCATCTTACTAACTCCTTTGAGGGCAAGAAGCCTGAAAAGAGGTGAGAAACAAATAAAACTGTACTTAACTCCCTGTGAGCCTCGTGGATAAGGAGCAGTACAGAGGTAATGCAGTCCATCCTTTCCTGTCTCTAAATCAGTCATACTGACTTTTGTGCCCTCTGGCTTTTTGCTAAATACCATGGCCTTGGGTTGCCTCCTGGAGCCTCTTCCCCTATCTCCAGTTTCCTCTGTTCCCCTGACCTGGCTCCATACTCTCTTCTGTGTAGTGTGGGACAGTAAAAGCTCTTCTAAAAAATGAAATCAGAGAATCCCTAGATTGACATGAGAAGCTAGATGAATTCAGTTCATTCAACTCCACAAGATTAACTGGGTAAAAGGAAAGCCTTGGTCACTAGGTCATAAAACAACACGAATGCCAAGCACACACCTTGCGCTTTTCCCTTTGTTCCCCCTAAGAGTTGATAAGCTCCTTAGAGGAGTCGGGGCAGAGAAAATCTGGATGATTATGTGACCAAGGAAGTAGCTGCCCTGAAGGAACTGACCACCAAACTAGAGATCAAATTTCCAAGGATAGGTTATACCGTTTTAAGTCTCTGAACCCTTTGAACCCAACCTGCCATTCATTCAAGAAACATTTTACCACCATCTACAATGTATAATCAATCATTCAACTAATATTAAGCACCTGCTTACTAGGTACCAGGTACCTGGTCCATGAG